CTTCACCAACCACTGGGCTATTAGCTCTAGTCTGTCTCCTTTATAAGACAAAAATAAGCAAAATGAGTATTGGGTAATTAATATTGTATTAAAACTTCACATATATTCTCATTTAATTTTCGTAGTAACCCTTGAAGTTAAGTATTACCATACTCATTTGAAGATAAAGCTCAAGAGACTAAGTAATTTCTTGGGACCACAAAACTAGTGAGTGGTAGAGCTAAGATTCAAACCCAGGTCTATACAAAGGCCACATTAGTTTCACTTCACCATATTCTCTAACTTGCTCTTCAACAAAGCTCTAGGCAAATTATTAATCTGCACACTCATTTATTCAAATAAACATTTATTTATTTACTTTATCCTTTTATTTAGCAAAATAATTGAGTGTACCTACTATATGTCAGGTACTATGCCGCTTTGGACCTAGAAAGACAAATAAAACAGGGTCCCAAATGCCTCCTCCTACTTCGGAGACTCTTGCAATAAAGTGAAGGATGCCCTCCACAGGTTGGCAATGGGAGGAAAGAATGCAAAAGGGCAGCAGAGCAGAATCCTCTCTGAGTAATGTCTGTGTCAGGGAGAAAGTGGTCCCAGGACAAGCACAACCTCAGGGGCCATCTCTGTATCACCTCGCAGTCTGGGGCAGAAGCTTCAGAGCTGGCCAAAGCCAGAGCGATGAGGCCCAATGGCGAGTGTTAACTGTTCAGGAATGCTAATGGCATGCAAGGCGGGCCCCTCCCATGTGGATGTGCAGCTCGGTACCTGACTCTGGCCTCACCCCAAGCAAAACTAGGAAGTGTTTTTCCTTTTCTCTCATGAATTCATCTATGAAAATAAAAAGAAGTACAAATGGGTATCTTTGTGTAAGGCCTCCCAATCCCTCAAGCAGAGCAGCCCCTGTGCAGTGAACAGAGAGAAGGTGGAAGGAAGGCTGCTTCTCCTCAATCTAAGAGCCCTTGGCCTGTGACCAGTCACTGTTAAAACCTCCCTTTTATCCCCCTGGGGTCACTGATGCAGAAAACAAAATCATAACCCAATACCCTGCCCTTCCTGAATATCCTCTGATTATAATTAATAGTTTCTTATGTGTGTAAACAATCTTAGTGCTTACCTATTACTTTTGTATCTTTTATCTCATTTAGTGATCACAGCAACCCCATCTAACAAGTTGTAGTCTACTAATTTTATAAATCAGGAATTAGACACTAAGGAAAATAATTATCCAACTTTACACAGTAATGATAACGACAACACAAAGCTGGGACTTGAACTCTGGCATTCTGATGCCAAGTCCAGTGTGGTCACCATTATACTGCAGACATTAGACTATGATGTGAGCCACTGGAAGCCTACACTTGGCTCCCTCTTGACATTTGTGGCCATTTGGGGGATGCAGCAAATGTTTTAGGTCCTCTAGACACCAACCTAGTCTAAAATACAAGTGGCCAAGTAGAAGCTATGAAATGCTAACCTCTCATTGACTTGCACATTGCACCTTTTACTTCTAAGAATTCTGGTCTTGGGGGTAGGTGGATGAGCTGTAGATTTTTGATACATCTAGACAGGTTTTCTGGAAAAGCATATGGGTGGAGCACCGAGTTTGGGGGAAGTATGCAAATATGAGCATCATATCAAGGGGTTAAAGAGACAAGAAGCTGGAGATGTGAGTGAAGAAAGGCCTAGTGTTTCTGACCTTCGCAAAGGTAGAGTCTCCTGAGCAGGGAAATGTAGCTGGTCTCTCTGCTCCAGGTGCTTCTATTTCCACTGACAGCATTTGCTATGTAGCAGGACTTGATAAACTGTAGAGTGTTTAGCAAATGATCTGGGGCCAGGCAGACCTGTGTTTCAGTCTCATTCAGTCTCAGCTTCTGCACTTTTTAGCAATGTGGCCTTGGGCAAATTAATCTCTCCAAGCTTCCTTTTTTTTTTTTTTTTTTTGTGAAGATGGAGTTTTGCTCTGTTGCCCAGTGCAGTGGCCCAATCACGGCTCACCACAATCTCCACCTCCTGGGTTCCAGCGATTCTCCTGCCTCAGCCTCCCAAGTAGCTGGGATTACAGGCATCTGCCACCATACCCGGCTAATTTTTGTATTTTTAGTAGTGACAGGGTTTTGCCATGTTGGCCAGGCTGATCTCGAACTCCTGACCTCAGGTGATCTGCCCACCTCAGCCTCCCAAAATGCTGGGATTACAGGCGTGAACCACCGTGCCCCGCCCCTTTTCTTTATACAAACAATGACAAGACAACAGATTCTCCCCCTAGATCCTTCGGAAGAAACACAGCCCTGATTTTAGCCTGGCATTTTCTGTCATGTCCTTGCCTAGGTTTCTTCAATTTATGCTTTTCTTTTTGCTCAGAGCAAGTTTCTACCTGTCTTCCTTCTTTTCTCCCACTTTTATCTGCATTTTCCACCCTAATTCTGACTCCTGCAGTTCTCCCACAGAATATTCATTGGCTCTTTCCCCTTTGTAAGGACTAAACTCTGTGTGGCAGAGTCATCTCTGGAAAAGTCTGTAAGTCACGGGGCATAATTGAGTCACCCAGGCCACCTCCCTTGATCAGGGCCCCTGCAGTTCCTTTCTGGACCAGTAAAGCCCCTCAGTAGTGCCTATCTAACTCTGTCCTTCTCCACAGCCCTCCTTGTCCCCTTGATGCGCACAGTCATTTTTGCTTTGAACCCATGCTGTAATCATACTTTAAACTCCTTGAGGTCAGGTGCAGTGGCTCACGCCTGTAATCCCAGCACTTTAGGAGGCCAAGGCAGGAAGATCACATGGTCAGGAGCTCGAGACTAGCCTGGCCAATATGGTGAAACCCCATCTCTACTAAAAATACAAAAAAAAAAAAAAAGAAAGCGGGGTGTGGTGGTGGGCGCCTATAGTCCCAGCTACTAGGGAGGCTGAGGCAGGAGAATAGCTTGAACCTGAGAGGTGGAGGTTGCAGTGAGCCACGATCACGCCACTGCATTCCAGCCTGGGTTACAGAGTGAGACTCTGTCTCAAAAAATAATAAAAATAAAAATTAGTTAAAAGAAGAAATTGTCTTCTTTCACACGGTACATAATCAGCACAAGTTGATATCGGTGCTGAATTTGGCCTCTATTGATTTCTGCCCTTTCCTCTCTATGCTTCTTTTATCTGAACCCATACCTTTCAGTCTATTTACTTTTGTCTCTAGTTTAGATACTAACCCAACTGGTCAGGAATAATGTCTGTACATACCAGTAATGAACTTTACAATGTGACTCAACCAGCTACATGAGTAAGTCTCCCCCTTGGGGGAATTTGTGCAGTCTAACACGCAACAATAACTGGCAAGAATGAATGAAATTTCTAAGCAGAAAGAAATGAATGGCATTTAAGCAGAAACTACACAGAGACCCAATGGCCCAGATTCTTCCATTTCTCCAGCAAACATGAATTGAGTACCCATTGTGTGCCAAATTCTGAGCCAAAAATGCTCATAAATTTTAACTCAAATTGTCACAGCTACCCAGGAAACAGATAAAGGAAAATATTTACAGATGTCTAAACTTACTCGGAAGGTTGTTAATACTTATAGTGTAACAACGAGGTTAAAATTAGCAAGGCTTGAGACAAATAGAAGGTTTGCCTCCCACTGCCACCCTATGAAACTAGGACTTTGGCCAAATTGACTGGTTTGCTATCTTGTGGGCACCTTGCTCTTCTGTCTCTACTCCCTAACTTTCCCTTCCTCTTTACCTGAATGTCACCCATCCCCACCTCACTCCCACACATATCCACCTCCACTCTATGTATCAAACCATACACATCCTGCAAGACTTACGTCTTCCCGCCTCAGGACTCCCACAATATTTAGTCTCACTACATGTAGTATAGTTATGTGGGAATGCATCTTAGTTTCCCTACTAACACAAAAAAATCCTAGAATACAATAATCTCCCTTACATATCTTTGTATGCCTCAAAATGCATATTGAACCATTTAATACACTTTTTATTTACAGCAGGAATGCATGAATTGATGAATTAAATGTTGAGAGCTGTAGATCGCTTTTCTCAAGGTGCTTCAAGTGCAGAAGCCCAAGTGATTGACCCGCACGCTTACCTTTGTGTTCCTTCCAGAAAACCCTCAGGGAGGTGAAAGACCCATGTTCAGCTGTGTATGGCACCAAAGCCTATCAATAGTTTCTGGGAGTCATTGTGGGCTGTGGTGAAGCACGTGGACTCTAGAGTATCTGGAGTCCACACACACCAAGGTCTCTAGCCTAGCTCTGCCACTTACTGGTTGTGTGACCCCAGGGAACTTAATTGACCAATTTAAGCTTTAGTTTCCTCATCTGCAAAATGGAGCCTCCTCACTTTTCTTCTTTTTCTACCTAATTGGGTTATGAGAATTAGATGCGTGCATGCAAAGCACCTGGTAGAGTGGCACACACCTGGTACAAGGAAGTAAATGCTAGTCCCCGTTTTTCACTTCCCCTCATATACAACAGGGCACTTTTCTATTTGCCAACTATTTCTTAGAAGATAATAAAATATTCAGAAAATGATAGTTTTTAAAAGCAACCTGCAGTCCACATGGGAACCAACCACTAACTGTAGCCATGAGTTTACCCTTTAGGTTTCCACTTGTCATGGCCAAGGGCAGTGAGGGCTATGCCAGTGACCCTCAGTGTGCTTTGGCCCTGCCCAATCACCACCTCAGGTCCACCCCTTGTGCTTTCCACCTTGCGGGGCTCAGTCTACCACTCAGAAGGATGCATTCTGCACACTCCTTGTCTGAAAGAACTCCTGAAAGGCACTGACCAGGCTCTGGAAGGCTATATTCTTTTCCTTCTCTATAAAAGTTATGTGATTACTAAGCTCAATAATCAAATGTCCTTCATTGCTCAAGGATTATATGGCTTTGGTTTGGTTCATTTGGGAACAAGGAGACAATATGCAATGGCATGGTTTACTCATGTTACAGAAACTGTAGCAGTTATTTGGTAATGCTTTCAACTGTGCCTTCAGCTTGTGGGAAATCCTGAAGATGGCCAAAGACGACTCCACTGTTCGTTGCTTCCAGGGCCTGCTGATTTTCGGAAATGTGATTATTGGTGTAAGTAATGCTTATTTCTCAGGAAATTCTGCTCTTCCTGTAATCATAACTCTAGATTAATCAAAAGTAAGAGTTTCAAGGAAAATAATGCTGTAATTACTGGCTTCCTATATTTTTGCTTCATTTTAAGAAATATGTTAGTAAACATGCTAGCTAGAATTTAACCATATGTCAAAAGATCATGGTTGAAAAAATAGATATTTCCCTCCCAACTTTAAATTATAAGTATCTAAAAGGAGTCATGTCAACCATAGTCAGTGTCTAAACACTCTGACTACAAACACACTTCAGTGTTTCTTTTCTATGTCACCTTGGTTCGATTTCCATGGGACTCTGCTGTTAAGGTTTTTTGGGACAGATGTTTGCATCTTCTTGTTCTTACCCAGAGGCCAGTATCAGGGTGTAAGAATAATACAGAGGTCACACTGTGTGGGTCTGATGGCATAGGAGAACATTTGTTTTGGAGTCCAGAGCTCTTGGCCCGGCTCTCCCCCTGACTCCCCATATGACTCTGGCCATCACCTTTCAAGGCCGAGATTCCTCATCTATAAAATGTGGGTGTTGGCAAAGATAAGCAGCAAGGTTCCTCCCAGCTGTCATTGATAAATATGACCAGGACCAGCTCAAATATTACAACCCAGAAGTGTGGGTCATGACATGGGGGCAGGGGGAGATCATTCTCATACCAGAAGGCATTGTTTGAGTGATTCATGCCCCAAGGACATTGTGGATGGTCTGAAATTGTGTGGGTCTGTTTCTAAATAGACAGAATAACATGTGAAGGGGTGTATGCAACCAGTTAGTAGGATGGAAGTAGTTGTTTAGATTAGTTGCATAAAGTCTGTGCAGGAAAGGGAGCCAGCCTCTTACCTTCCCCGCCCTCCACCCCCTTTCCCAAAGCTGCACTTCTGATGGAGCCTACCCTTCATTTGCCCCCAGTGTTGCGGCATTGCCCTGACCGCGGAGTGCATTTTCTTTGTATCTGACCAACACAGCCTCTACCCACTGCTTGAAGCCACTGACAATGATGACATCTATGGGGCTGCCTGGATCGGCATATTTGTGGGCATCTGCCTCTTCTGCCTGTCCATTCTTGGCATCGTAGGCATCATGAAGTCCAGCAGGAAAATTCTTCTGGCGGTAAGACCTCAGATTTCTCTGGAGTTGTCTCCCTGAGCCAATTTTAATGGATTCTTTCTTCTTTACTGAGCAAAGATTTGGCTTTCAGTGGGGGAGCAGCAAGTACCAGATGAGGGGTGAGGAGGGGAACACTTTCCCTGCAGTGAAATTGTCCACGTGGAGGCAAAAATGCCCTCCACTATTGCAAGTCCAGAAGACTCCAGTACAGAGAAGCCAAAGGGGAGACACCTGGGGGTGGCCTGATGACTATTTTCCATATTGTGCCTCTACAGCTGGTGTCTGCATACACCCAGGTACAACTAGGAGCAATATAGGCCAAAGGAGAGACACAGTGAAAATTCATTCGTTAGATTTTTTCTCTTGGCAATAAGTTGTTCAAAACATTTTATATTAATTAGGCATTAATATATTGGGATATAAAATACAAAATATGCATACATTTTTAAAAGAAAGTATAAGTTTTCAAAGATTTTTGAGCTCAAGGTTGATGATTCTGTATCATACCTATACTCCCCACATTATTATCCAATCTGCTTTTCAGGGACCCCAGAAAACTTTGATAAGCACCACTGTAGAGTTAGCCTTCAGCTCATACCTGCCTGTGGGGGCTTTACCTCTGTGCATCAAATAGAGGCTTCTGCCCCAAACCACAGATAGCAAGACCATGCCCTGCCTTTACAGATGAAAGCAAATTTGCAGGCAGCAGAGCTGAGAAACCTCAGTGTTAGGCCTGGACCCCTACTCTCTGCCCCAATACTTAGGGCAGCAGTTTCACACTATGATGGAACACGCCTCCAATGCCCCACCCCTGAAATAAACCTTTTATTCAAATGCTGCAGGACCCCAGTTCCCCCTTTATAGACTCAGTCCAGCAACGTAAGGTGCTTCTTAGTTCACTCTTTCTTTGAACTAACCATTGTCCTGGTTCCAGTGGAATACAGAACATTTACATTCTCTGGTTCCTTAGTGTGGGTAAGTTCCAGGGCAAAAGTACCCACTTTTGGTGGGTGGGGAAAGGAATACAGGAAAAAGGAAGAGGAGACACAGGTGTTCCTAAAGACAAATTTGCCTACATCCCAGCCTCACTTTGGGCCATCCATGTGTGTGCCTGACAGCCAGAAGTGAGCTGGGGAGGCAAAGGGGCTAAAGGAGGAAACACCTCACTGTGTGCCTCCTTTCTGGAGCATCTTTATGAGCAGCCAGCAAAGCTATCGGCAAGGAGCAAGGCAGCAGCTAATACAGGAAAAAAATGTTCTGGGGCCTCTCAAGGTGTTCCTGCTGTTGACTGCAGCCAGAGCTTTATTCTGGGCTGGCTAGTGAGGGCGGCAGAGGGTCCTGCTCGGAGAGTCTCCCATACCCAAAGAGGACAGTTTTCCCTGCCTGCCCTGCTGACACTGACCACAGTGCCCCTTCTCCCAAGAGTGTGTGCAAGGCTGAGGAAGGCAAAAATGGAACTCTTGCAAACAGTCCCCATCCCAGATTCAGAGGTCATTTGCTGCTCAGATATTTTCCAGCCAGAAATTTTCCAGCACTGTCATGTGGAGGCATCACGTGCACATGCACCCATGTGCCCATGCCCACACACACACACACACAACACCACTACCACACACGGCAAGTACCACTTCACTCACCTGAGCCGATGTACTTTGAGTGCAGGTGCATGTGAAAGAACGCCCGGCAAATCGCTGTGCACTTGGAGGCTGCCTCTCCTCTGATGAGGCTGGATGCTTGTTAGGAAGGACCCTAGATATTCAACATGATCCAGTTCATCTTTTTCTGAACTCTGTGATTCTAAATTCTCAGCAAATTGTAAAGAACATTTCTCCAAAATTCCAAAATTAAAGTGGATTTATGAGGCCCTATATTGTATGTGATACACTAAGACTCTTTTGGTAGGCACTGAGCATGCACATGCATGTAAATGCACACACACACACACACCAGTTCATTCTCTTGTACTTGTTTTTCCCAGTTAAAATAGAAACTCAGAAAACTGGACTGAGGAAGCTCTGTATTCAATGGCTATTTGTTCTCTGGAGAAAGGGAGAGAATTGAGCTGACTAGCACCAAGCCCCAATCCAAGCCACTGATCAATGAGGGTTTGTTGAATAACTACATGAATGATTACATGATTATATGATGAATTTGCTGAAAAATCATAATTATTTGGGCAAGTCGCTCTTTGACAGGTAAATGTAATTATTTTATCTCATTTGTTTCCCTTCCAGTATTTCATTCTGATGTTTATAGTATATGCCTTTGAAGTGGCATCTTGTATCACAGCAGCAACACAACGAGACTTCGTGAGTACAACCTCAAAAAGCAAAATGATAATATGAATTATCATTATTATAACAACCAACATGTATTAACCCCTTACTGTATGCCCAGGCAATCCAATATGCATGGTAATAATACATACATCACTTCACTTAATCCTTATAAATCTATGAAATAGGCATTATCACTCTTGTCATTTTAGAAAAGAAAAAAATGAGACAGAAAGGTAAAGTGACTTGTCTAAAGTGACATAGTTGGCAACTGAAAGAGCAAGAATTCTGAACTCAAACAGCCTGACTCCCAGGGCCCAAGTTTGTAATCCCCTGTGGGTTTCACCACTCTGCCACGGCCATGGGCCTTCCAATGGGAGGATCTCTATTCTACCTCAGCTAACACTTGCTCTCAATTCTATGTATTTCCTTCTCTCACATTCTCTGTTGCCCTAGCCTAAGCCACGCTACAATATGTGTTCCCCTGGCCTCATAGTGATTTCTTTTAACACGAGAGTCTCTTCTCTGCATGGCGACTTATGCCAACCTCAGCCAGCTGTACTTGGTGTCTCTGAGTACAGTTTTGCTCCAGGAGAGAATGCTCAGTGTCCCCAGGAACTGACAGAGAAAAATATTTTCCTCTCCTTGAAAATTAGTGTGCTAACTCTCCCTCTTGTGTTACCTCTTCTTATTATAGTTCACACCCAACCTCTTCCTGAAGCAGATGCTAGAGAGGTACCAAAACAACAGCCCTCCAAACAATGATGACCAGTGGAAAAACAATGGAGTCACCAAAACCTGGGACAGGCTCATGCTCCAGGTAAGACCTGGGGTCTTGGGGAGATGCCATTTTTATTTACTGGTGGGAGTGGGTGTCGTACACATGACTCAGTGGGACCCCATATTTTATTCTAAGCCATGATGATTAGCTTACATTCGTTGGAATGATTTTGTCAAGAAATTTAGATTAATCATATACTCTCCTTCTTAGAACTCAGGTATCATTTACATTAAAAGAAAAATATTTTCTCTGCCCCACAGTGAACTCGAGTGGTAATTACTGACCATTTCGCCTTTTTGGTACCTCTTCACAAGCCCTGTGAGCCAGTCTTGCCAAGGACCAGGCACTATGTCTTGATTTGATCACCCAGTTTTCTCCAACTGGCAATCATAGTTTATGTCCATGTTTATCTCCAATGCCATCAAAAGTCCAAGTCTTCCAGAATATCCATCGTCACCCCCACATTGCCCTCTGTACACAAATTGTTATCCTCTACATAACTACCAATCTGACCCAGCTTCCTCACTGGCCCCTGCTCCTACTCCACACCCCATCACCAACTTTTTACAGTCTGTCATCAGCAAACTCCCTTATAGCCATCACTCCTTCTATGAACTCTTTAGTATCTTTTTCTTGCTTCATTGGAAATTTGGCTGTCTCCTGGGAGTATTGCCTGCCCTTCATTTTCCTCCCATATCCATGTACCATAGGACCTGGAAATTGGCTAGGCTCCTTCTTGCTCCCCTTGGCTGCCATACTATTTGCTTCCTCGATCTACATCACCCTTTATCCCTCCTTGTCATTACTTACCAGCCTCCCTACCCCCAGTTGTTCTCCTGCCTTCATTAGGGATTTCAATATCTCACTCACTGTCTACCTCTTCAGTCATACTCCTGACATCCCACCTAGAAACTTCAGCAGCCACATGGATGACTCCGCAACATCTGGTCTCACAATTCCTTGTCCTACCCCGTTCCAAAGATTTTGCTTTCCACTCTACCTCCACCCTCTTCCATGACCATAGCCAGCATGCCATCACCAATAACTGTGCCACTAAGAACATTCTACTCTCTGACCACTAATTTCTGTTATTTATTTCATTTATTCTAATATCTCAATTCTAATAATTTTACCCCATTAGGACCTCCAATTAATTGACCACTTTTTAACTTTCTATCACCCCTTTCATGTTTTCTCTTTGCCCTTTGCCTAACCCATATTCAAGTCCAGCCCCATAGCCATTCCTTCCCTACCCTTCTCTGTTGGTCATTCTTTCCTAACCAAGCCCACTGAGTAGAATACAGCTTTTTGCTCACTCTTCATTTAAACTCTAAGAGCTAAACATTGCTGAGAAAAGTCACACAACTGTGATAATTTCAATTTAAACTTGTGACCACAGAGCTCAGATGGGCAGATAATATTTCCTAGTATATTTTCCCAGGAAATTCACTTGTTACTATTTCACATGTTCTTCCTTCATGCCTGCCACATTGCTCCTCACCCTCCCTCTCAGCTGATGACCTGACCTCATATATTTTTAAGAATATAGAAGCAATTAGACAAGAACCAGCTCATCTTTCTACCACCAAATCTACACTGATCTACACCTGTGCATTTTGCCTTCTCTCTTGTTATGACACACGGGCTGTCCTTTGTCCAGCTCTTTTGCTTCTGTTCTGCATTCCATCTCCTTTGCCCCGACAGTCTTCCCTGCTCTGATCTGCCTCATCAGTTTCTCCCTTTCATCAGCCTACATGGACACCTTAAATTGTCCATCTTATAAAAAGTCTCCCTTGTCCAACATTCACCCACTCTTCTGTTCTACTACTCTTTTGTTTTATTCCACAGTAAATCTCAGAAGAGACGCCTACACTTGTGGTCCCCATTTTCATCCCCCTCATCTGCTTTCATCCAACTACAATTGGCCTCTGGCCCCACCACTCAACAAAAACAATCCAGGTCTTCATTACCAATTACCTCCATCCTGCCAAATCCAATGGCCAAGTTTCTGTCCTCATCTTCTTTGACATCTTATCAGCATTTGTCTCACTGGCTACTCCCGCTTAGTCTCCTCTGCTGGGCTGTCACTCTTTACCCAAATCTGAAGCTTGGAGCACTGCAAAGCTCAATTCTGGATGCTTAACTCTTCTCTGTCCCCATTTAAATCCTAGCTTGAAATAAGCCTGGCTTAGACTTAACCATTTTTTCCCAGAATGCAGAGCAATTCTTTTTCTTAGTTAGATATTTCCCATAATATAGTGACAAAATTGTACATCCTTTAAAGATGGTTGATTTATCATCAAGCTTACTTGAATATATTCATTCTAAAAGTTCCAAGATACCCATAGTTTTAACTTCCTCCCTTTTGAAGGATTTTAGCAGAATTGATAATAAAGAAGGAAAGCTATATGAATTGTGTTTTGTCCTGTATTCTCAATTCTATCCAGAGTGTAAGGGATGCATTAATTGATCTCCCTTCCCTACGTGGAGACAGCTGTGTGTCACCAGGTTATTTTTTTCACTTTATTTTCTCCCATTATAAAAATAATATCTAATTACTCTTTAAAAAGGTTTAAATGTACAGAAAAGCAAAACAAGAACAATTACTCATAACTTCATCACTAAAATTTTTAATTTTACGATTCTCAATTTGCTCATATATCACAATAATTATTCCTCTCTCACACTGTTATATCAAGATATCAGTACAGGATCAATCATAATTAACATTTATTAAGAGTTTAGCATAAGCCAGGCACTGTATTGAGCACATTAAGTAAATTAACTCATTTAATCCTTAAAAAAACTCTATGAGATAGGTACTATATTCCAATTTTACAGTTAAGGAAACTGAGGCTTAGAGAGTTTAAGTAACATGTCAGTGGCTACAGGGCTCACTAATGACTAGTAAAGTAATAGTGTAAAAATTATTTTACAAACTGTAAAATGTAAGTTGTAAGTTATCAATACCTTCAGCTGTCATTTGGGGACTTCTTAGTAAATGTAAGATACGGTACACTTTCCGTATCTTCTTTCTCTATAAAATTTCAGTTGCTACATCGATGGCTCTAGTAGGGACCACGAAAGAGAATTTTGTATCTCTCATCTGCTGACAGGACAACTGCTGTGGCGTAAATGGTCCACCAGACTGGCAAAAATACACGTCTGCCTTCCGGACTGAGAATAATGATGCTGACTATCCCTGGCCTCGTCAGTGCTGTGTTATGAACAATCTTAAAGAACCTCTCAACCTGGAGGCTTGTAAACTAGGTGTGCCTGGTTTTTATCACAATCAGGTGAGTCCTCTCTCCTCCCAAGACTTGCCAGGAGGTTCTGCTGCTCTTTATGAGGAAAATATTGGTCAACTGTAGGAAATAGTCTTTCAGTAAGGAATTCTACATTCTTTTCCCTAAACCTCATGTTAACTATTTCCTTCTCTGTTAATAAACTGCAAATGCTAAACTAGGACTGACAGGGGCAAATTTACATTTTAATAACATTAACAAAACATGAGAACTGCAATAGCGGAATCCAACTTCGTTTAAATAAAGACAATTTGTTCAATGTATAGAATTGGTATTTCAAGAAATATTTACATTAAACAAAGTTTTCCTCTAGTTTTGCAAAACATAAACTGGAAGGGATGATGTGCAAAAAGAATGTTTTGCCAATTCCAAAGCAATGACTATTGCTGAGGATAAATGTAGTAATTACACATCCACATTCCTTATTCAAGGGTAAAGTAGTACAGTCTTAATAAACATTAGGTTGGTGATTTGGATGGAAGGTAGTTTACATACAGATAGTTTTTGAAAAAGTTTCCAGGCTGATGAGGATAATGTGATTACAATCATGAAAACTAACATTTATTGAATACTTACTAAATGCCAAACACTGTTTCAAGTGCCACACATCTACTATCTCCTTTAATGCTCAGTAGTAGGTGCCAGTAGGATCCCTGTTTTACAGATGAAGAACTTAGATATAGAGATGCTAACAAATACCTTGCCGAGGCCACACAACTAGTAAATGTCCATCTTTTCAAAAAACCCTCTGGCTTTTGAAACACGAGTTTTCTGGCTTCAAGCACAGACTCTAAGCCAATGAAGACTTGCTAATATTCCCCAAAAGTCCTGGTGAGAATCCCCATATACTTGCAGTCAGCATCTGCTGACACTGTACACTGAAACGCTGTGCTCTGCCCAGGAAAGCTTTCTTTAAGGAAAGCTAGTGGTGTACCAGCTCATTAAATAACTGAGAAATGTCAGGCTCTTTTGTTTGGGAGTAGAACAAACTGCACTTTCAGATTGAGGGACATGGCACTGTTGATCACCACATACCTGACAGGGTGCTGGGACTGGAACTGGATGCATTATTCCAGAAAAGGGCATGGGAGTGATCTAGATTATTTTGCAGCAGTGTCCAAAGCAACCCTCATTGAGCTTTACTGCAACATTGTCTGGCACTGTTTTGATCAATTATATTCAGATTGTTATTAAAAACTAAATTCACTGCTTATAATCATGCTGTGCAATATAATTATTCTCAGGACTATAAAAGGCTTTTGATATTTCAACATTGGAACTGGCTCATGCAAGTTGGATTGTAATTGTGTACAATTGATTGATTGTAATTTTGTACAAACTGTATTACCTCTTTGAAAGGGAAGAAAGTAAGACATTTGTCTTCAGATAACCAGTTTATTTCATAGTTACACATTTTTTTCCTAGCACATATAATATTGTAGTTATGAGGACAAACCTGAAGCAACTTCCTTTTCTCAAGTTTAGATACATGAGAAATTGAGGAGAAGATACAAATGAACTCTTTTCCTCTATCTTGGGACCTCCACACCAATTTTGACAATGCTTCTAACACGTTCCCTTGCAGTTCCCTGGCCTCATCTGTTCTAACAACTCCACCTCCACTGTCTACCAACTACAAATTCATCATCACTCAGCCCTACTCCTCCACTAAATTCCTGAATTCTGAAATTCCTCTTTTTGTTCCTGACATCCTGTGCTCCCTGTTTCTCAACCTCACTCATTCTGCTCCTTTGACATCATCTCTTATCTATTAATCCTTTCTGATTCTCCCTAGCCCAGCCTCCTAGATTCCCACACACCACCATTCTCCCTGGCTCATAGATCTTGCTAAGTCCCCTCTTGCTGTCCTTTTCCACCAAGCAAAAGGTGCCACCCCAAGACCTGGTATACTTTATTTCTATTATTGCATTCACCACCTGGAACTATATTTGTTCCCAAGTCTATTTTTTCTGAGTCTCCTTAAGGACTGTGTATTATTTGATTCTACAGATTTGATATTTTTAGTACTTAGCATAATGCCTGGCACAAGGCAAGCACCGATGTTTGATAGATGGGTGAATAAAGAAGTGAATAGTGAATGGTTTTCCTTTTCTTTTCTTTTCTTTTTTTTTTTTTCTGAGACAGAGTCTGTCTCGCTCTGTCGCCAGGCTGAAGTGCAGTGGTGCGACCTTGGCTCACTGCAACTTCTACCTCCCAGGTTCAAGCGATTCTCTTGCCGCAGCCTCCCAAGTAGCTGGGACTACAGGTGCACACAACCACACCCAGCTAATTTTTGTATTTTTAGTAGAGATGGGGTTTCACCATGTTGGCCAGGATAGTCTCCATCTCTTGACCTTGTGATCCGCCCACCTCGGCCTCCCAAAGTGCTGGGATTAAAGGCATGAGCCACCATGCCCGGCCTGGTTTTTGTTTTGTTTTGTTTGAGAGACAGGGTCTCACTCTGTCACCCAAGCTGGAGTGCCATGCCACAATCACAGCTTATTGCAACCTGGAACTCCTGGGCACGAGTGATCCTCCCTTCCGCCTCAGCCTCCTAACTAACTGGGATTCCAGGTGTACCACCAGGCCTGGCTAATTTTATTTTTTGTAGAGATAAGGTCTCACTGTGTTGCCCAGGCTTCACTTTTTCACATCCATATTGTAGGTTTTCAGGATCTACAATGCACAAATGTGCTGCTATAGCTGTGAAGACTTATGAAATCAGGGAAGTCACTATAAGCCTGGTAATAGTAGAAATTAACTAGAATTTCACACAGCATGTCAGATGCAAATATATATATCCTATGTTATGGTTTATGTGACTCAGAAATGCTATATGCAAATTGTCATCACTATACCTCAAAAATGTTATGATGAAATGAAGGAAAATCAAGTAAAGAACCACTAAATTGACTAGCATCATGAAAAGGCACTAAAGGAGAAGAGGTGAGAAAAATGGGGCTTCTGTCTGTGACCTTCATGAAGGCAAGGCCTACTTCTGTTTGCCACAGCTAAATGCCCAGCCAGTACTTGGTACCTGGCATAAGTGGGCTCTTATATATATATAATTAAATGAATGCCCACCTCCTGGGATTGTTGGGAGGACTCAGGAGTAACAGACATGGGAGTGTTCTGTGAACCATCAAGTGTGTTGCAAGTTATACTGTTGTAAACATTACTTAATGTTCCGTTCATTCTGTCAATGCTTATTAGGTGTCTACTATGTGCCAGGCACTTATTCTAGGTTCTAGAAATTCAACAGTGAACAACATAAAATCTCTGCCCTCATGGAGCTTGCATTCTAGCATGGGAGACAGAAAATAAACATGTTACCAAACAAATACATGATAAAATTCCAGGCCCAAAAAGGCCATGAGCAGAAATAAAGCAGGGTGAGTATATAGAGCAGGATGGAGAAAGGGTCTTTTTCTCTGTCACTATCAGGAAAGGCTTTGTTGAGATGGTATTTGCAGAGGTCTGAATTAAGTGAGAAAATGAGACACTGGAAGACTGGAGAGGAAAGTTCTACATGAAAGGAGCTGTGAGTGCAAAGGCCCTTAAGTGGGAGCAGGCCCAGCTTTTTGAAGGAGCACAAAGGAGATCAGTATGACAAGGCCAGAATGAGTGAACGACGAGTAGAAGACAAGGATGGAGCTAGATTTTTTGTGGCTGGAACCCCCCACCCCCACCCTCACACACAAATTATAGGGAAGGATCCTTCTTAGGAAAAACAATAAAAATACGCATAAAAAATTAGGCACAGGGCCTTTCAAGTAAGGGGCCCCGAAGCTTAAGCTCATTCGCTTTATAGAGAAACCTCCTCTAGTAGTGGAAGATGGGGTGAGAGGCAGGGTCGCATGGTCCATGGAACCAGCCCCGGTTATAGGATTTCCTAGGCATTCCCTTTGGTTCCCAGAGCTTTGGTAGAGGCTGCTCAGATGGCAGCTCTAGCCTTACACGTGTATATCACTCCAAAACTTAGCACAGTGACTAGGATAGAGTGTGCCATGTATAAATACTTACTGGATTGTGACATGCATGAATGCATGATTTAGTGAATAAAAAAAATTATTCTTTTGCATGCTCACTGTGACCCATCAGAATTCAGTAATGTTGAAATATAACATCAAATGAGAATTCAGGGAGCATAATGCAGGGGTTCCTTTAGTGATTATTAAAAATGGCAACAGGAGACCTCTGGTTTTCACGGACCGAAGCATTTTTATTTAAAAACAAACAAATCAAAAAGTAATTGCCTCCAAATAAATCACCAATAAAACCTTTGAGGAGGGAAAAATTCTAAGTGAATTAAGATTTTTGAATTTATTGTCCACGTATTCAGTATAGAAAGAGTGTTATGCTAAAATAGCAGTACTTTGTAGTGAGATTAAGTGATAAAGACACAAATAAATGTGATGTAGAATCATTGTTCAACAGCATTGTTTGTGTTCCCTCAGTAAAGCACTGTTAGTAGCTGGCTGTCCCCAGAGACATGAAAATAGCCTGGGTATGTGAAATCAGACTCTTAGGCAATATTGATTCCAAGAGGAACCTGCTTTCCATCAATCTCTTCTCTGCTTTCTGGTTCTTCTCACACTAATGCGGAATTGCCCACTCCTTCAGGGCTGCTATGAACTGATCTCTGGACCAATGAACCGACATGCCTGGGGGGTTGCCTGGTTTGGATTTGCCATTCTCTGCTGGACTGTGAGTATTTCCCAGCACATATTTTATCTCTGAGAGGATGATGATAGGGAGAGACCTTGAGAGTGCCACTGGTTACCTCAACCACACTAGAAAGTCTAGAAACAAAACCTCAGGCCTGAAGGCTAGCCGGGAAACTTCTGGCACCGGAGGACGGACAGTGGGTTCCCTTGAGAGGCAAGGAGTTAACTTCCCCTACCAGGGAAAGGCTGTGCCCTGCCCACCAGCTCCTTCTTCCGGCTGACTGATGCGCAGGTGCCTTTAGAGGGCTGGAGAGCCTCTTTCCTTTGCCAGAGTTCTTAGTGAACTGCTCCTCCCGGTCTCCAGATCTCATTCATTCATTTCATCCACATATCAAAGACTGTCACCTATCTAGATGGCCCCTGCCTGACACTAATAAGCCCAGATCCTTCCAAAGAGCTGCCTCTGGCAGATTCATCCTTTCCTGCTGCCCACTTTATCTGACGTGTATGCAGCAAGAGGTTGGAGCAGTGGTTCTCAGCCCCGGCTACACATTAAAACCCTGTGGGGAAACGTTTTTAAAAAATTGCTTGGATCCCAACCTCTGAGACTTTGATTTAGTTGACCTGGGGGGTTGAGCTGAGGCATTTTTTATTTCCCTCAGATGATCTGCTGTCAGGATTGAGAACCATTGCCTCAGAGAAGCAGTCACAAACTTTTGATTTCAGAACCCCCTTACACTCTCAAAAATTATTGAGGACTCCAAAAGGCTTTTCTCTATGTGGCCTCTATCTATTGGCATTTATCCCATTGGAAATTAACATAGAAAATTTTAAATATTTATTTTAAAATAATAAGCTCATTAAAAATTATCACAACATATTTTTGTGGAAAATAACTATTTTATAATAGTGACTTTTTTGTAAATCTCTTCAATGACTAGCTAAATAGAAGACAGCTGGATTCTCATATTTGCGCCTTCATTCAGTCGGTTGTAATATGTTGCCTCGGTTGAATGATTTGAAGAAAATACATTCTAATTGAAAAAAAATAGTATTTTAATAATATTCACAATTATCTGAACTTGTGAAGTGCAATCTGAAGATAATTGTGAAAGTGAAGAAAATTGTGAATATTCTTCAATACTATACAAAACTCCACAAGTAGTAGTTTCATTTCATTTCTTTTCTTTTTTTCAGTCAGAGTCTCACTCTGTCACCCATGATGTAGTTCAGTGGCACAATCACAGCTCACTGCAGCCTCCAACTCCTGGACTCAAGTAATCGTCCTGCCTTGGCCTCCCCAGTAACTGGGACTACAGGTGCACACCATTGTGCCTACGGCTTGCTTTGTTGCCTAGGTTGGTCTTGAACTCCTGGCCTCAAGCAATCCTCCCACCCTGGCCTCCCAAAGCACTGGGATTATGGCCATGAGCACTGCACCCAGCCCACAAGTAGTAGCTTCTTAAAGATCAGTTGCAATTTGGAATCTGAAATTCTGTTAATGAGCTTTTCATACTCTGTTATGTTACAAATACATTACATTTTGCACTTTGCATATATCTTTCAGCCATTTATAACTCTATAACATCATAGATTGCTTATTTGGAAAAAATATTAGTTCATTGTGTTATGTAGATCTTCCAAATGTTAACTGATTTATTTATGCAATATCCAAAAAATCACATGTGGCATTGATATTGCCACATCAGAAAATACCTTAAGCAATGGGATGCTATCAAGTTCATGGTGACAGCTACAAGTTTTTCAAGGTTCTGATTTTTGCTTGAAAGCTCAAATTTATCATTAGCAATGAATATTGTCAGTTGTTTTCCTTGAAGTGACAGACTCACTTTGTAAATTTTCAAGAAAATATCTGCCACCTGTCCAAGTCTGAACAACCATAGCTTGTCTGTTCCTCATTTTTTCAAGTAAAAGTGGTGTTTCCTTTAAAAAAAAAAAAAATTCAGCACACAACACAATCATGCAAGTGCTTTCAAGACAACCATATTACACTATGCAACAGACTCCTTTATCAATGAATACTTCCTTTATTGTCATGCAGAATATTTTAAAAGATGTGTACTCAAAGACCAAAATGTAATAAAATTAGTAGTTCTTACTGCTTCATTGAGGACAATCTCAAGTGAAACTGGCTTTTTAAATGTTTTTATTTTTTGGCTGGGCGCAGTGGCTCATGCCTGTAATCCCAGCACTTTGGGAGGCCGAGGCGGGTGGATCACGAGGTCAGGAGATCGAGACCATCCTGGCTAACATGGTGAAACCCCATTTCTACTAAAAATACAAAAAAATTAGCCGGGCATGGTGGCAGGCACCTGTAGTCCCAGCTACTCAGGAGGCTGAGGCAGGAGAATGTCGTGAACCTGGGAGGGGGAGCTTGCAGTGAACCGAGATCGAGCCACTGCACTCCAGCCTGGGTGACAGAGCAAGACTCCATATCAATGCATAGCAGTGAAGACACAATGACCACTAACACAGTTTAGTGACTCTGCCTTGATTCTTGCTGATACTCCAGCAGTTTTACTCTCCACTGCTTTTACACCATCAGTGCAAATAGGAAAACAGTGAAAAGGCAAATAAGTTCTCATTATTATTCAGATAGTCTTACATAATTGACTCCTGAACCATCCTTCAGGGGTTTACTATGTGTATTCGTCCATTTTCATAGTCCTATGAAGAAATACCCCAAACCATGTACTTTATAAAGAAAAAGAAGTTTAACGGACTCACAGTTCCACATGGCTGGGGAGGCCTCACAATCATGGCAGAAGGCGAAGGAGGAGCAAAGGCATGTCTTACATGACAGCAGGCAACAGAGCGTGTGCAGGGGAACTGCCCTTTATAAAACCATCAGATCTCACGACACTTATTCACTGTCAGGATAACAGCATGGAAAAAACCCACTCCCATGATTCAATTATCTCCCATCAGATCCCTCCCATGGCACACGGGGATTATAGGAGCTACAATTCAAGATGAGATTTGATTGGGGACATAGCTGAACCATAACACTATGCTTTAACAAATGCTGGCCTTTGGGAGGCCGAGGCGGGTGGATCACGAGGTCAAGAGATCAAGACCATCCTGGCCAACATGGTGAAACCCATCTCTACTAAAAATACAAAAGTTAGCTGGGTGTGGTGGCATGCACCTGTAGTCCCAGCTACTCGGGAGGCTGAGGCAGGAGAATCACTTGAACCCAGGACACGGAGGTTGCAGTGAGCCGAGATCATGCCACTGCACTCCGGCCTGGTGACAGAGCAAGACTCTATCTCAAAAAAAAAAAAAAAAAAAAAGGGAGAAAGAGAGAAATAAATGCTGGATTAGGGGGTGATAAACTGAGTGAGGCAGGAAGGAGAGGGAAATCAACTCCTTCAAGGGGTCTTTCATGATCCCTGAACCCAACCTGTTAGGAGCTCTCACAACATCCTGTGCACACCTCTATGATGGAACGTGTCCATGATGACATATTTGACTGCAAAAAGCTGAGAACCAGCTGTTCTTTGTAACCCCAGTGCCAAGCACAGCATGTAATAAGAGCTCAATCATTTGTTGAATGAATGAAAGATAACAGTGAAGTTTCTATTTGTGCCATATTGGCAGGAACTGTGGGATAATGTTTAAAGGCTTTGAGTATCTCAGAACTCCAAACCAGTTGTAACCCTTGATTTTCTACAAGTATCAAATAAACTCTGTATCTAGTTAATTCCCTCTTGAAATTCAAAAGAGAGAAGGGAAGGGAATTAAATGATTAAATGTATTGAGAGCTGCTATAAACAAGGCGCCATGTCAAATATTTTTAATATTAAATCCCCACAACAGTAGCTAAGCAGGTAGCCAGTCTCCCATGTTACGAGGAACAGAGAAATTCAGTGGGGCTCTCAAGAATTGTGCTTAATGAGAGCTTTTAAGCATGCCCGTTTCACTGTTGCTTGCAAGGGGCTTTTTCTTAGTGATTAACTAGCTAAACTCTGAAGCTGACTGCTTGGATTTGAATCCCAGCTCCACCATCTACTAGTTCTATGACCTTGGGTAAGTTACTTCTCTGTGCCTCCATTTCTCCATAGGGTTTTGGAAGCATTAACTTCAGTTACATGGGTAACACTTAGAACAGTGCTTGATGCATAATAAGGTATTCTAATAAACATTAGATCCTATTATTTCATTATCTCATTCACTGCTCTAGCTCTGGGGTAGGCCTCGCCACCTATCCGCATTATGTCAGTTGCCCCATTATGTCCGTCATTTTATAAATTTTATAAAATATAAAATTTATTTTATAAATGTAGAAACTGGAGCTCAGGAAATTTAAGTGACTTGACTAAAGTTACCCAGGAGTAAGTGCCAGATCTAAAACAGAGCCCAAATAAACTAAAATAAAACTCAGCCCTTGCCTAAGTCAGGTATCTTCAGTTCTGTGGCATTCTTCAGAGGAAGCCATTCCAGGTCACAAGCATTTTAGGAAAAAAGAGAAGTTCCCTGGGAGAAGTTTAATACTAGAAGCAAGGAATGCTTACCCCAAAATGGTACATACTAGAAACAGGAAAGCATTGGAGGATAAGTGGCCTTGATGGCAAAAAGAGTTCAGCACAGACGAAAAGGGCAACCCCAGAAGAGAAGGAGTCTAGGATGAGAACTGGGATCAGAATGTGGGGAACAGAGAAGCTGCCTCTGAGTGGCAGGTAATAAGTGATGCTTTGGAGCAGGATGGATTTGGTGTCACATCTGGCCCAGTGATGTTGCTTATAATGAGATTACTCTTAAAAATCTGTTGTCTAACAAAGACATGGAACCAACCCAAATGCCCATCAGCAATAGACTGGATAAAGAAAATGCGGTCCATACACACTAGAATACTATGCAGCCATAAAACGGAATGAGATCACGTCCTTTGCAGGGACATGGATGAAGCTGGAAGTCACCATCCTCAGCAAACTAACACAGGAACAGAAAATCAAACACCGCATGTTCTCACTCATAAGCGGGAGGTGAACAATGAGAACATATGGGCACAGGGAGGGGAACACCACACACCAGGGCCTGTTGAGGGGTGATGGGTGAGGAGAAGGGACCTTAGAGGATGGGTCAATAGGTGCAGCAAACCACCATGGCACACGTATACCTGTGTAACAAACCTGCACGTTCTGCACATGTATCCCGTTTTGTTTTTTTTTTAAGAATAAAGAAAAACAAACAAAAATATCTGTTGTCACCTAAGCCTGAATGAACCTAACATCATTTTTTTCCAAGAATGAGGTGTTTCTAAAACAATCCCTTATTTATTTTTCCTTGTTTTTTTTCTATTCCAGTTTTGGGTTCTCCTGGGTACCATGTTCTACTGGAGCAGAATTGAATATTAAGCATAAAGGATTGCCACCATACCTCCTTCCCCAAGTGACTCTGGATTTGGTGCTGGAACCAGCTCTCTCCTAATATTCCCAGTATGTGCCCCACACTAACATGTGTGTCTTACATTGCCAAGTCAGATGGTACGGACTTCCTTTAGGATCTCAGGCTCCTGCAGTTCCCATGACTCCTACTTTTCATCCTAGTCTAGGATTCTGCAACATTTATGTAGACTGTTGAAAAGAGAATTTGAAAAATGCATAATAACTACTTCCATCCCTGCTTATTTTTAATCTGGGAAAATAAATACATTCGAAAGAACCTGTGTTATCACAGTAACCCAGAGCTGTATTTGGCTAGCAATCTGCCCGTATCTCTTACCATTATCTAAAAGAAGCTTCTAAGGCTTCTATTGATCTCAGTATTGTCAGGGGAACAGAGAAGCCAGGAAAAGATTACTGAAATATACCTTTTGCATTTCTTTCTAGAGTAGCTCCCATGTATGGAGACAGGTGATTCTCTTCAGGCCACCTTCAGATCCTTTTATTCTCCAGAATAATTCTTAACAGTGGTTCAAATTTTCTTTCATACCTTGCAGAGTGGTATGTGTTTAGTAGCCTCAATTCTCCGTTAATTAAAAGTGTGGGCTGGGCACGGTGGCTCCTGCCTGTAATCCCAGCACTTTGGGAGGCCAAAGCGGGCAGATCACTTCATGTCAGGAGTTCAACACCAGCCTGGCCAACATGGTGAAACTCTCTCTCTACAAAAATACAAAAATTAGCCAGGCATGATGGCAGGTCCCTGTAATTCTAGCTACTTGGGATGCAGATGCAGGAGAATCACTTGAACCCGGGAGAGAGAGGTTGCAGTGAGCTGAGATCACACCACTGCACTCCAGCCTGGATGAAAGAGCCAGACTCTGTCTCCAAACAAACAAAAGAAAGTGTGGGGACTTCTGTGGACAGACAAGGCGCCTGTTATATATTTACTCAGTCTTTGCCCTGAATGGTCTCAGCTTGAGACCATTTCAAACTGAAGAGAAGCAAGCCAGCCAATAGAATGGGATGATTTACAGGGATTTCTGTTTACTGTCAAAATATTTCTCATCTGAACTGTTTCCATTTGTGGTCCTGAAGGAAATTCTTATAACTCAACATTTGTCTAGTCTTATAAATAAAGAGAGCTTTAAAATCTGTTCACTTTCATTTTTACCAATGTCATATACGAGTCTAACAAAACAGTTTTCCAACAGAAAAGCCTAAAGCCTGGGAATTAAAGTGGAGGAGGTAGAAACTGCAGACACAGGGTGTGGCTTCCTGCTGGACGCTGGCAAACCCTGCCATACAGTTGAACGGTGGGAACTTCTACGCTCACTTTTACTTTTCGCTCCTGCTACACTTATCCCAGAAGCAGTGACGAAACTAAGGCTCTGCAAATCCTTTTCCTCTTGCAATTGGAAGCAGTGGAAACCTCGCCAATGCTAACTGCAGAACTGTGCGTTCTTCATGAAGAAAACATACCTGTCACTTTGGCGTCCTGCTCCCAGCTGACTCAGACGCAGGCAGCACCCCCATCCCATGTCCCCACCAAGTACCTGTGAGTGAGGCTGAGCGGTGGGGCAGCGGAGGGACAAGGAGGATTGGACGGGACTTGCCTCGGTTGTAAAGCTGGTGCAGGAGCCCAATCCCTGATTCCCAGAAGAGGGAACCAAAGGTCCATGTCCTGACAGCACAGCCAGCTCTCCTCTCCTTGACCCCCTTGTCTCTCCTGAATGAAGATCATGGGATATCGAGATAAATGACACCTGTGCTTGGCTGAGAAGGTTCTCTCTGTGGTCCTCGAGAAGACGGGAGGAGAGGGAAGGAGCTTCCTCTGGGCAAAGCTTTGAAACAGCTGTGCTCTCATCTCCCTCCCCACACTCTCTCCTGTGTGTTCTGGTGCCTTTTGCCTCTACCACTCACTGGGCTTTCCAGTGCCCTCATCTCCCCACTGCCTAAGCAATTCCTGCCCCAAACCCACTCCCACCTTCCCTTGCAGGGCTTCATGCTCCAAGATTCTCTCTACATGCAAAATTCCCGTCTTATGATTGGATCTCGGCTAGGTCAGGGGAAGGCCTTTTTGGAAACCAATTCATACTAAGGAGTGGGTGACAACTCATCTCCACTCTCTCAATCTCTATGACATTTTCTTGATAACTGAGGTTGATCTCTAGTTGGTGGAACCCAGCACAGCAGTGGCAGCGTGAAAGAGCCATTGTGGGATAAGATGGCCCACCTGCTGCTCCTTCAATCGTATCCCCTGACTTCCTTACCAAGCAATAACTAAAAGAGAAAGGGCCTTCAGTGAGCCCCTGCCCCCTGCCCCCTCTCCAGGTAGCTTCCTTCCTGGAGCCTCAGCCTCCTCCTTAATAGAAGGTGCAAAGTCTGCCGTAAATGGAGGTAGGCTCTGCTCCTTCCAAAACCAAATGAGGTCCTAAACACAGGCACCCACTATGTCCTGGGGCTCCAACACTTGAGGAGGACACACTTTTCAGCTAAGACAGAAACGAGGTCTGAGGATCACCCTGCAGAGTCCAGCCATTCAGGACTCCTGCGCTTCCCTCTAAGGGCTCTCCTGTTTTGACCTCAGGACAGTTTCTGTTCCGCCCAATTCCTGCTCCCACCTCCCTCCACCTTCCCTGGAGGCCCAGCCTTGCCCCTCTTCCTTCTGGCTCCAGGGACTGGAAGTGGCCCCAAGCCAATGCTCAGGCAGGCCCAGGCTCAGCCCCAGCCCCAGCCCCAGCCCCAGTCCCAGCCCCAGCAAACCAGGGAGGCAAAGGGGAGTCAGGCGGCTTGGCTCTAGGGACCTGGCAGCTTGCTGAGCATGAGACAGGCCCAGACACAACTCTCTTGTGAAGTTTCCTTCTTCAACAGTTGGCCTGCTTATCAGGTGGACAAAGAATGATTACTACCTAACACCAAAAATGTGTCAGGATAATTTGCGCAAGTTTTACTTGATTGCAACACCAGGCGGGTCATCATGCTCTCTTGGCTGGCCATTTCCCTCCCTAGATTGCTCCACAGGCTCCTGGCAGGCAAACAGTTTGTCATTTAATGTTTGAAAGCCCACTGCTCCTACTTGTCAGCCTTGTAGCTTTTCTTTGTCTACATCAGCTGGAATAAACAGGAACTGCTTCTATTTTAAGCAGAAGATCAGATATTTTCTGGCTACCCATAAAGAAAAGGAATACTAGTCATGTGAACTTGAAAATCTAATCTCCTCTCAATCTCACACCCCCACCCCAACCAATCTGACTGACAACCTGTGTTGTGGTTGAGGAATTAGAAACTAAGCTGGTTTCGCCTTTCTATTGATGGAACAATTTCCTTTCTCCTTCTGGGTCTAGTATTTCCTGTAATGCCTCTTCCAGTTCCTTCTCAGCTTGTATAAGTGAGACCGAATCAAAGAAGAACCCCAAAGGAGGGTAGCTGTAGACTATTGTGTTTGCTACTGTATTATAAGGCTCAAGTGGCCAGATCCCGTGAAGGGATCCAGGAACATTGCAGAGAAAGGCAGCCTTGCCGAGAAACACAGATCCCATACCCTTCTCCAACCAACCCTTTCGCCAGCACACCCTCCCACTCCACATTGTTAAGACACAAATAGCCAAATCCTGGAGTTTGGAGAAATGCTACCATCATGCCTTACTTTCTAGAGGTTTCTACCCTGAGTTCCTCTTGAAAAAAGAACAGAGCAACAGAAGCTGGTGAGGCACTCACAATTAGGCTCAACTATTCTCCCATTAGATATAAACAATCTCACAGAATACCAGCCTCATAGGGTCACTCTGAGACCATGATAAAATGAGGCAAGCCAAGGCCACTGCATAATTTTGTCTACGCACAAAAACAAGGTCACTGTGCCACCCACAAAAAACCGAACACCTGCTTTCTTGGCTAAAATTAGGGACTGCTATGTCTTCCCAATTACAGCTTTATTCTCTTGCTAGTCTCCCTCCCAACAAATAAAACTTACTAAAATATACAACCACAGACTTGCCCCTGCTTTCTGATAATATCCAACAGAGCAAACCCTTTCTTGGACCCTCCCCAAATGACCCAACCAAAGCCCAAATGCTGTAATAGTTCTAACTTCCTTCTACTGAGTTGCTTCATGGATCCCTCATGGTGTGTTCTCACTCACTGCAATGACTGCAACTAGTCACAATCCCAATTTTTTTCCAAACAGAGCTCTTGAATTTATTCCTCCAACTGAAATTTTGTACCTTTGATCAACTCCAACCCAATTAATTTATCTGCAATGTGTTCCTGGGGGGTTTTGGCTGAAAGGCATTGACACTCTCCAAGTTTCCTCAAGGAAACAAGGTTTATTTATTCCTCCCTAGTGTAGGTATATTTGTTTATCCATCACCATGAAGTGGTTAAGAACATGAACTTTGGAGTCAAAGTACTTGGCTCCAAATCCCAGCTCTCTGACAAGTCACTTAGCTTCTTGGAGCCTGCTTCAGAAAAACTGGTCTCTCCTCCCACAGGACTGGGAGGATTCAGTAAGATACGTAAAGTGTGCATCAGCCTATAAGAGATGCCAATCAGGAAGTTATATCAGGGAAACTGATACAGAGCAAGCACTTAGTTTATTATTATGTCCCACCCTTCACCAACCTCTGCTCCAAGCCCCCACATCTCTCTCTCATTCTCTCTTTCTCTCACACACACACACACACACACACACACACTCCACACATGGGCACACAAGGTTTGATAATTTTATTTAAATCTTAAAAATTATCAATGGAACAATGGAGCCTTTACCTGTACAGGTATACTTCCTAAGGGTGGAGCCTCTAAACCACTCCCTTGTGTATATTTTTAGAATGGTCATGCCCTCTCAGCAGGTATAAGATGGTTACGCATATACAAAAAAATCAACGATGGTAGAAATAGTGTAAAATATGGAAGGCACTAAGGATAGAGGGGTTTTTTTTAAGTTATAGAATGTGATTGGTGAAAAGGAACTTATGAAATGTACCTGAATATGCTTCATCTTGCAGAACATGTTAATGGTTTTTGGTAGGGACTGCATATATGAATAGGATTGGGGAAAGTGAATTTCAAATCTGGGAGAAAATGTCTTTTATCTCACTCAAGTCCATTCACAGAGCATTTTGGGGCTCCCAGGAAATCTATCCATTGGGGCTTGAGTGGAAGTGACGGGGGTAAGGGCAGAAAAACTAGGGAGGCAGTTGGGGACAAAGTTCTGAGAGCAGCTGAGAACAGGAATGCACTTTTCACGGTCCAGACCATACTAACCCTCTGCAGGAATTCCGACAAGGACATACATTCACGAAAATTACTGCAAAGTATAAGAGAAGCCAAGAAGAAGGCAATATGGTGTAATGGTCTTGAAAGTCAGACGGCCTGAGTTTGGCTCTGACTCTGCCATTTGCTGCCTGTGAGACTCCTGGCAAGTCACTCTCCTGGCTGGGACCTCTACTTACTCATCTGCCCTCTTACCTCAAGAGTCAGAAGCATCGGCCAGGCACAGTGGCTCATGCCTGTAGTCCCAGCATTTTGGGAGGCCGAGGCAGGCAGATCACCTGAGGTCAGGAGTTCGAGACCAGCCCGGTCAACATGGTGAAACTCTGTCTCTACTAAAAATACAAAAATTAGCAGGGCATGGTGAGGCATGCCTGTAATCCCAGCTACTTGAGAGGCTGAGGCAGGAGAATCACTTGAACCCGGCAGGTGGAGGCTACAGTGAGCCGAGATTGTGCCACTGCACTCCAGCCTCGGTGACAGAGTGAGACTGTCTCAAAAAAAAAAAAAAAGTCAGCAGCATCAATAAAGTGTATCATAAAGATATCACAAACTGTAAAGCACTATAAAAATGAATGCCAGTATAGGTGAGGAAAAAAAATCAATAAAAACTTCAAAGAACACACTCTTTGTATTAGGTAGTTGTGATATCCAAATAGCCTGCCCCCATATAATCCTTAGAAATTATAGTAGGCACAGCTATCTCTACAATATTTAAAACGGTAGGCCTCTTTGTGACAACTATGAAAAAATGCATAGGGCGGGAACTGGAGGAAGCCAGTTCCTTTGAAGCCTAACCCCCGCCCAGCGGGGAGGCAAGAGCATGGAGAGAAGCAGCAGTGAATGGGCAGGTAGCTTCATGCCCCATGTCACCAGTCTTTGACGCTCCAGTGCAGGGAAAGTGCCACAGTGGCAGTGTCAAGGTCTTAAAAATCTATCTTCCATCTCAAGAAGTTTCATAACAAGTCATTTAAGGGACTTTTAGATTATCTTGGTTGAAAGAACTACCTGAAGGAAAGTAAAAGGCATCGTTCAGTGTTTCCAACACTGAAAAACTGCAGATGTCAAAAAAACACAGAGAGTTTCTGCATGGTACTAGCTATGTTCCATTTCCATTGAGTAAGAAATTGAGTTCTCAAATACAGATCTTCAAATTCCTTGTACACACCATTCTCTTCCATTGCCCTTCCCAACCATGATGAGGGAGGGACCTACAACCTCTCAATTACCATCTGTTAATATGGTCATAGTCAAGCAAATTGGGACAGAGCTCTAGAGAAAGGTTCTAGAGAAGAGAAGGGACAATGAGGGGGAGATTCACTCAATACACTACAGCCCCATTAGCAACTCTCCCAAGAATGAAGCTCCTTTACAAAGTTTGAGCAAAAAACATGAAAACCCTGAGTATTTCTCTGCTAGGTAAAGAAAACCATGGCTGGGCACTGTGGCTCACACCTGTAATCCCAGCACTTTGGGCACCCTAGCCAGGCGGATTGATTTTGAGCTCTAGAGTTCAAGACAAGCCTGGGCAACACGGTGAGACCCCAACTCTACTAAAAACACAAAAAAATAGCTGGGAGTGGTGGTGAGCACCTATGGTCCCAGCTATTCGGCAGGCTGAGGTGGAAGGATTATCACTTGGGCCTGGGGAGCAGAGGCTGCAGAAAGCCGAGACTGCACCTCCACACTCCAGCCTGGGTGACAGAGCAAGACCCTGTCGCCAAAAAAAAAAAAAAAAAAAAACCACTTTTGCTCTTTTGCTCCCTGTGCTGAGTTAAAAGCTAAACTAAAACCAAGCCAGCCCTAGGTAAACCTGTCATGTCTATAAAGTGTATTGCCCTTTCAAATTCTCCTTCCCCATTTAGGTGGTGATAACTCTTGTTTTTTCTTAGCACCAAACCTTCCTACTCCCTCTCCCTGCTTGGGAAGGATTAGATATTATTTAAACTTCCTGGCTGGCACTCATTCACGTTAAAGTTTAACTGTTGAGGTGTCACACAATAATCATGGATTGAGAACCCCCAGGGCTTGCGTGATAAGCATAATGCATTCATGGAGGTGCCCAGGGAGTGAGACACAGATGGGCCTATCCTAAGACTGGAGCTGGTTCCACACGGAGGTCACACATGAGACGAACAAGAGAGAGGGACAGAAGGATGGGAGACAGAGGGAGTGGAGGGCTTTGTTTCATTTGTTCTGTTTTTAACCTCTTTAGAATTATGGATACTGAAATGAATATATCTGTAGGCGTCAAAGATAAAAAAACACGAAGGAACACTGAAAGCTTTTTCACATTTTACTACAGAGGTATTTGATAGACGTACTGATTATCAGTTAATATGTAAACTTGTAAACTGCTAATTCATATCCTACTTGTACAAAATCATTTTACAAAAACTCTAAAAACTAATAGGTAATGTGTCCTCTGGTGGGCATCACTGGAAGGCATACCTGGGCAGGTGCCTCCCCTGCAGGCTATCAGCAGCTGCAACCAGCTCAGCTGCTGCTGCCTCTGCAGGAGACACTCTGCCCTCCTGCTACCTCTTCATTCCCAAGTTCACCCCATCTTGATTTGTCACCTTTTCTCCCCTCTTTTGTGGCCTTCTTCTCACCTGGGACCAACCACTTCACAGACGATTGTACAGGATAAATGAATAACAGTATTGTATCTTCGTACCTTTCTACACTGGACAAGAACAACTCTGGTTCTCTCAGACATTCAGCAGTCTTATTTCCTGTGGCCTTTTATCCCATAATATATCACTTCAAATTTAAATAAATCTCCTTCAACCAGAGTCCTCAAATCGCATTCATTTTATCCTGTGAGTCATCGTTTTATATAAAGTCCTTCAAGTATCCATATTACAATAGTTAACCCTCATGATCAAAACGACTAAGGAAGCTGTCTTGTTACAACTGTTTTATACTCCACATCACCAGGAGCTCTGCTAAGAAAATACAAAAAGGAAAAATTCAGCCCAACAAGGAGCTGAAACAGGTTCTTAATGTGTGCTACTATTTGAAGTCTCTAGGCCAAAATTATTGCAACCAAAGAATCAGTTCTTCCAAACATCACCAAAAGATCCAGGATCATGCACCAGACCAGAAATCCACTGTGATGTTGATATACAAAGGATTGTGTTCCACGGATACTAATTTATAAGAACAACTACTCAACCCATCTGTTCTCCAGACTCGTGACACTTGGTGTAAGAGCTTCATCCTAAAGATAAAAAGAACAAATGTGAATGATAAGACAAGAATTTAATGTATGTCTCCACTGCATTTTGCCTTGCCCCGAAATGTAGCAAACGTATTTTTGTAAATTATTGTACCTGTTGTGTTTCATACTATCACAAAGTTTGTTTTCCCCATTGAAGGTGACAGACGTGATAGCCATGTATTCATGTGTCAGACTACATGTGAGAACCCAGGGACCCATGATGAAAAGGGTCACTGCACTCAGTGAGCCCCCAGTCTACAGGACAGAAGGATGTGCAAGGAACACAGAGACAACAGGATATGTGCCATCCACTGCTAACTGATCCTCAGATGAGCTTCAGGGGATCTCTGAATCTTCCTGTGTTATAAGGAAAGTTTGTGTCTGTACGTGGGTACATAGCCTTCACAAGCCTCCAAAAATTTTGGAATGTATGTAGGTGAGGATGAATGAAGGGCAACCTAACCTAATGAGGAAGTCTGGCGAGGCGTCAGGGAGAAGGGAAATTTCAGTAAGGTTATTAAATGTTTATTAAAACAGAGAAATTCAACAAGTGAAGAAGGTGAAGGAAAGCGCACTCCAGGCAGAGAGACCACCCTGGGCAAGATGCACAGACACGCAAAAGAGCAGGATGCATTTAAAGAAGTCACTAGTGTGGCCACAGCCATGGAATCTGGGAAGACAAGCAGGCAGTGAACTGAATAGGTTCTACTTGCGCAGCAGTGAAAACAATAAATGCTGGTTACCCATGACAATATGGATGGGGATCAGATGCATCACGTTCAGCTAAATAAAGTCAGAGAAGAATAAATGCAGTGTGATTTCATTTACATAAAGTTGAAAAACATGCAGAACTAAGCAATCTTTTGTTTAGGGATATAAACATATGGGAAAACAAGAAAACCAAGAAACAGCAGAAATAACTATCATTATCACAAATACTTATCACGAAAATTCAGAGAGGTGTTACCTGGGTAGGTGGATAGGGGAGATGCAAAGGGGGAGACTACAGGATTAGGGAGGACCACACAGGTCATGCACTCAGAGTGGGGGTGGGAGATACCAGCAGTGCTCATGGCATCAAGAATCTTCACACTTTTCATACAATTTAGGAGCACTCTTGTATCTATTCAATAATTAATTTTTTAATATAAAAGAAAAATGCACACCTATGGACAATGACTAGAAAAACGTAGAAAATAGAAATAGCTATTTTGTTGGAGTGGTTGACTCTATCAAAAGGGCAAAAAGACATTTAATAATGCTTTAAAATATAAACTTTAGGTCAGGCGTGGTAGCTCATGCTGTAATCCTAGAACTTTGGGAGGCTGAGGCAGGAGGATTGCTTGAGCCCAGGAGTTTGAGACCAGCCTTTGGCAACACAGGGGGACCCTGTCTTTACAAAAAATAAAAAAAATTAGCCAAGCATAGTGACACATGCCTGTGGTCCCAGCTACCTGGGAGGCTGAGCTGGGAGGATTGCTTGAGCCTGGGAGGTTGAGGCTGCAGTGAGCCATGGTCACGCCACTGCACTCCAGCTTGGGTAACAAACAGAGTGAGATCCTGCCTTGAAAAAAATAAACTTTTAACAGGACTCTTTAATATCAGGCTGAAAGCACTTTAATATTGCTTTAAAATGTAGACTATAACAAAAGCACAAAAAGCCCCTTAATACTGTTTGAAAATTTAAGGGGAAAAATCAAAACAAAGAAATACAGACTCTTCAATCAAAGCCTCATAAGAACTGGCTTATCTGCCAGGATTCCTTGGTGAATAGGCCAATTCCCAAGGCATGAAAAGTACAAGAAGAACCTAGAACATCTCGTCACGGCAGAGCAGAGGGAGGGAAGCTCTTGAGGACTACTGGGATTCAGGACCCAGCTTGAAGAAGATCCCATTGGCCAAAGATGAGACAATATGAGTACCAAAAAGTACAAGAACTACATCCTGAAGGATGCTAGGAAACACCAAGCATTAGTCTGAAAAAATTTTAATCAGTGCTTGACTCTTTCTCTTTATTTTGCCTTTCCTATAAAAACTATACCCTAGAGTACCCAAATACATGAAAAGAGAAAGTACTTTGTAGAAAAATCTAATAAATGCAGAAGGAATAACAGAATTAGAATATTACAATTTTGCAACTCCTAATTAAATAATACATTTAGAAATCCAGCATCAACGACTGCTGAAGTCATTAGGTAAAAAACTGATGGGGAATCTCACAATGCATAGGTTAGACTGGCGATATCGAAACTCACAGATCAATCCTAATATCCCAAAATGACACAACCAGACATTACATCCTCCTGCTGTGACACTGGAGGAAGTACACAACACTATAGATGAAAATTCTTGCCCACAAATAGTATTCAGATTCTGTTCAAGTCTCCAGAAATGAAGAGAAATCCCAGTATGACGGTTAATACTGAGTGTCAACTTAACTGGATTGAAGGATGCGAAGTATTGTTCCTGGGTGTATCTGTGAGGGTGTTGCCAAAGGAGATTAACACTTGAGTCAGTGGGCTGGGAGAGGCAGGCCTACCCTCCATGTGGGTGGGCACCATCTAATCAACTGCTAGCGTGGCTAAAATAAAGCAGGCAGAAGAAGGTGGGAGAAGCCGACTTGCTGAGTCTTCTAGCCTTCATCTTTCTCCTGGGCTTCCTGCCCCTGAACATCAGATTCCAAGTTCTTCAGCTTTAGGACTCTTGGACCTACACCAGTGGTTTGCCAGGGGCTCTCGGGCCTTTGGCCACAGACTGAAGGCTGCCCTGTCGGCTTCCCTACTTTTGAGGTTTTGGGACTTGGACTGGCTTCCTTGTTCCTCAGCTTGCAGAAGGCCTATTGTGGACTTCACCTGGGGATGGTGTGAGTCAATACTCCTTAATAAACTCCCCTTCATATATACATCTATCCTATTAGTTCTATCCCTCTAGAGAACCCTGACTAATACACCCAGTTTATGAGAAAACAGAAGTCAGGAGGACACATTAAGTTATACTACCAGGATGCAACTGAAAAAATCCGTAATGTAAGGAATTCTATTGGACAAATAATCTGGCTTCTTCCACAAATAAATATCAAGGAACTCATAAAGAAGGGGAGAGGGAACCTACAGATTAAAAGAGATCATTCAAATGCCATGTGGACCTTGTTTAGACACTGATCTGACCAACTGGTTTTAAAAATAAAAAAGCTTTTAACACTGACTAGACATTTGATGACATTAAGGAGATATTGTTAATTTAATTCTGGGTATGATAATGGTATTGTGATTCCTTTTTTAAAACCGTTTATATTTTAAGATACTGAAACAGTTACACATGAAAGGCTACGACATCTGTCACAAGTTTCTAAATCCAGTGGGGTCAGAAAAAAACTGAGGGAAAGAAGAGAGGCCATGAGTTGAGAACTGTAGACGTGAGAGTTCAGTGCATCACTTTCTCTCCTTTTGTGTCTGTTTGAAAATGTCTTTAATACAAATCTTTTAACACAATGAACTGGCTCAAATCTGATCGAATTCAACATAGTCCTTATTGACAGAACACACTAGGGGGGTAGCCTGCCAGGCAGGTGAAGCCAGGACTTACCGTTCCGCGTTCACCTCGTTGCCTTTGTCTCTGGTGTGGAAGACCATTGTATATTTACCCACTTCAGGCAGGGGCCGGGATATTTTCATTCTATGGAGCTCAACCCTAGAACAATAATAGAGATTTTTTTTAAGTCCATCCTATTCATCTACCAGTAGGCAAATAAAAAGCATCATTTGAGAAAATTTATACACACACAGAGAGTCACAAACAGCTTGACTACTGGGGTATTAAAAAAAGAGAAACTTCTAGAATTTCCAATTTCTTATAATGGTGGAACTTCAGGTGATAAGCCCACAAAAGAATGAGATTTAACACTTATTCCTGGGGTACAAAGGAGATGCATTAATTTATACTTAGTCATTTTCAAAAAGAAAAAAAAAACTGATAAAGTAGTTATTTCAAAACAACATGAAGAATAGGAGAATCAAGTCTGTTAGGATCCCCAATTTACTTAGAGTTGCCTTCCTTTAACAAAGAAAGGAATGGCCATTTATGGTCACAAGCTTTAAAGCTACAATCCTAGGTTCAAATCTGGACTCCATTATTTACAACCTCAGTAAGTCAGTTCACACTATTCCAAAGTCTCAGTTCCCTCATCTGTAAAATGACAGTGGTGACAGGGACTTGATTTCAAAGATTCAAATGATATAATCTGCATGGAACATGCTTGTACTCTGTAATGTATTATATGTACTATATAAGTACAAAGAAGGGTAGTGCCTGTTGCACAGGCGAATAAGTAAGCAGTAAATCTCACAACTTTCCTATTCAAATCATCTTAGTTTATCCACCACATCAGTCAAAAACCATTCTGATGGCCACGATGGTCTTTTCAAATTAAAGCAAAATTGGAGGCTCCCCTCTACTTTGAAGCTGAAGCGTAGCAGGAAAGAAGACAGTGAAGACATGTGATCACGGCAAAATTCTACTAATCACCCCAGTGAAGTAGATTTGGGGAAGATAATGGGGATTGTTTATCATTAGCCTTTGCTACTGTTGTCCTGAAATGTAGCAGGTACCCTCCGTCCAGTTCCTAAGTCATGACCACATAGGCTGCTGATGGGCTGGGCTGCGAAGAGCTGTTGCCCATCACTACAGCCATTTCTGTAGAGCCCTTGGTCAGGGAAATGCACTCCCTCCTGCTAGAAACATTCCAGAGGCTCTCAGGCTAGACATGGGAACCAGACCAGCATGGAGCTCCTGGGTTCTTTATCATGAGGCAAGAAAAAAATTTCTAACAGTCACATATCTAATAATTCAGAACCCCAGGTTAGAAATTTCCTTTCCAGCCAGGCATGGTGGCTCACACCTGTAATCCCAACACTTTGGGAGGCCAAGGCAGGCAGATCACCTGAGGTCAGGAGTTCGAGACCAGCCTGGCCAATATGGTGAAACCTGGCCTTTACTAAAAATACAAAAAAATTAGCCAGACACGGCAGCACATGCCTGTAGTCCCAGCTACTAGGGAGGCTGAGGCTGGAGAATCACTTGAACCCAGGAGGTGGAGGTTGCAGTGATCTGAGATCCGGCCACTGCACTCCAGCCCGGGCGACAGAGCCAGACTCCGTCTCAAAAAAAAAAAAAAAAAAAAAGAAATTTCTTTTCCAAGAGGCAACAGCAAGAGGCAAGGGAGTCTCCTGACACCCAGAAGGGCCTTGTGATGACAAGTCTAAAGATACCAGCCCAAGCTCTTGAATAATTACTTATTTCTGCAAGGTAGGGATAACTATAACTATCTGGCCCCCAAATCCAAGTTCAGGGGAAGAAACTGTGGGTGGAGGCCAGACTTATTCCCTTTGAGCCCCTCAGAGCAGAAAGCAGTCCAAGAGAACTGAGTTAGGCCTGGGGTCAGGCCACCTGCAGTCCCCACAGTGTGCAGGGCTGTCTAAAGCTTGAGAAGAGGACCTCTTTGCCTGCTTCAACATGTGCAGCTCGCCAGAGGCTGCTGGCACTCCCTGCGGAGGACACTGGGAACTGTGTGTGAGGACCCCCTGAGGTCTGACAGAAAGCATGAGGCTCTTAACAACCCGGTCTCCAAACTGCAGTTCAGCAGACATCCTGCAGTTTGAGGTTTCTCACTCACTGGTGTCTCAGTACGTCTTTCCCACTGCCAAGTCTATGAGGCCTCCACCAACACTTCTGGACCCCAAATGCCCCCAGGCCAGGAGTAAACTGTCACTGGCACAGAACGATGTGGGCCATCCTGCCTTCCCTCCACCCCCTGCACCCTTCAAGCCCAAATCTGCAGCCTAGTGACCTGCTGGACTGGCATCTAAAGGAATAAATATAAATGCAGGTCTCCAGAGCCACAGATCTCCAGATCGCAGAGCCCCGTGAAGGGGACCTTTCTCTGTTGTTCACCTGAGTCTGAGGTCATCGTCTTCGCCTCCCCATCCCCAGTAGTTGTTAGAGAATCCATTCACCTTGAAAAACTGCTCTCTGCTTAGGGCAGTAACACCCCCAAAATATCCACTGTAACGTAACCTGGAGCAAAAGAGATGAGAGAAATGGTAAGAATATTAGCACCACAAGTCTCTGATTTCAGGGCTGGCATTCTAGGAACACCTGGGAGACCATGTACTTCCAGCCACCCACTCCTGCTTCTCCTGCTTGACACCCACCTCCCAATGCTCCTGGCCTTCCCTGTCTTGTCTTTTTCCCTCTATCTAGACAAACGTTCACCTCTGCTCACTGAGCAAAGTGCCACCCGGCTGTTAGTGGTGGTGTTTGTGTGTAGAGGCCTACAGAGATACCTGTCAATGTGAACCACACCGTCAGATATTGATAACACAATTCATCTCATGTGCCAATCCAAGGAATGGTAACAGTTGCCAAGGGCAATGGGTTAAGAAGGATTCTGAGGCTGCATCCGGGTTCTGCATGAATGTGTGTCATGATGAATATACCTTTTTTTTTCACTTTCACTTTTGCAAGGGAGGGTTGAAGGCAGGAGACAGCTCCTGCACACACACTGCATGCACACACTCTGTATGCAAATCTCCACTTCTCAGCATGCATCTCCAGCTCAGAGTCTGTTCCCAGGATAACCCAACATATGTCAACCCCCCTGAAGATTCTGGCCTGTCAGCCAGATAGAGTCTAGGTAGTACTTTTCATGAAAATAGGCTGTACAGAACAAGAACTAGGTTTTGAGAGGAAGGACAGTGAATCATGCTTCAGATAAGGTGAATTTTAGATACACCTGGGGCTTTGCCAGTAGGCAAAAGGATACAGGGTCCAAGGTCACAAGAGAGGGGTGACTACAGATATGGTTTTGGAAATAAGCTGTTATCATGTAGTACCTGAAGGCACAGGTCGAGAAATCTCCAACAATCTAGTTGGTGAGAAGAGTACAAAGGGTAGACCCAAGGGGCTCAGCTCTGTGGAACCCTAGGAATACCGAAAAGAAAAGAGGCAAGAGGAGAAAGATCAGGAGGTAAAAGTAAGAGAGCACCTCCCAGCCTCCCAGTTATATAGGACTGTTATTATCAGTGAACGAATTTGTAAACCTCAGAAATAAAGGTATCCCTTAAATATAACATTTCAACAATCCAGAAATGCAGGTTAAGGTAGCTTAACAACTTGGATGTTACTAAATAAAAAGATGTGAATATCTAGAGAATTTTTAACTTTAACTTCAGGTCAAACTGTTCCAGGACCGATAAAATATTTATGATTTTCTAGATAAAAAGAAAAACCGAAAAGAAAGATCAATAAACATGTAGACACTGGCCATCGAACAAGTGGCATCCCAAAAGCTAATTTGTAGTTCAGTTGTTTCCTTCTATGTTCTGAGAAAACACTGGGGACTCTGTTTAACCCATAAGAGAAACAGATTTACTTATATGCCCCCAACTTAAAATTCTGGGAAACTGTATTTTTGCAGCCTATAATAAAAAAAAAAAAAAAGGAAATAAAGTGCTTAGAAGGTAAACATCACTGACCAAGACATCTACTAGGAATGTCTCATTACCATGGTTATCAGAATGCATTTTATAGAGGGGAGGGATTCTCAGCTGCCTGAACAGGACATGGTGATAAGGCAGGCATAACCTGCTGATACCAACAAGCAATCAGCATGAGAACCAGGGCAATGATGTGGTAGCTTATCACAACCAATATCCACCCCATGCAAGATGGCTGGCTAAACACGGGAGTGTGGAAGCCCTGCCCTCAGAGTTTATAACCTAACAAGAGAGGTGAACATTATCAGGGTTCTGAGGAGAGAGGTGTCACTACATCAAGAGGAGGGCACCTGGAAGGATTCAAATAGGCAGAAAAATAGGGGATTTCCTGGTGACCATAACTCTGTGAGGCAAAGCACAGGAGGGAGAAAGGCACAGGCTGCCCGAGGACCACTTGGAGAGGGGTGAGCTGGAGTGGGGAGGGACAGAAGAAGGCAAGTCAGCAAGAAGGGTTAAAGAATTGTTTCTCCACGCCTGTAATCTCAGCACTGTGGGAGGCTGAAGCGGGTGGATCAAGAGGTCAGGAGATCGAGACCATCCTGGCTAACACCGCAAAACCCTGTCTCCACTAAAAATACAAATTATTAGCTGGGCATGGTGGCATGTGCCTATAGTACCAGCTACTCGGGAGGCTGAGGCAGAAGAATTGCTTGAACCCGGGAGGTGGAGGTTCCAATGAGCTGAGATCGTGCCATTGCACTCCAGCCTGGGTGACAGAGTGAGACTCTGTCTCAAAAAAAAAAAAAAAAAGAACTGTTTATCAGGTGCCTGTCAGATGGCAACAATCTCTGTGTTTATTGATCTTTGCTTTTGGATTTTCTTCTTACCTGTAAAAGCATAAATATTTAATTGGCCCTGGAACCGTTTTATTTATTTTTTAAAGTGCTGTAAGGCCCAAGGGTGGGGAAAACGTACTCATAAAATAACAATAGACTTCCTTGTAGGAAGGAGGCAGGTAACAAAGGAGTTCTTGCCAGTAAAATTTGCCACCGGCTGGTCCACAGCTTCATCACTGACCCCACAGCCAGTGAGAAACAAGATTTGTTTCTGGCTTCATCAGAGTCTGAGACACTTGGGGCAACTTACTTTAACTTCTTCACTCTGCATGTGTGTAAGGAGAAAACCTTTTCTGCACCTGTACTCATGGGGCTGGTGTGACAGTGATGAGGCATGTGCTGACTTAAGCTCTGTGGCACGGGGGCACACAGTTGCCAGCACAGGGCAGACACCCAGCTGCCTGGAAACGAACTTGTCTGCCACAGGGACTTTGCTTAGAGCAACAAACGCAAGTAGTCCAGGAGGAGGGCAACTTCTGCCTACATTACTTATACATACCTCTCTCCAGCCACAAAAGATGAGGCTGCTTACATGATACATACAAAACAGAGAAAATCATAAATGATAAACCAGGACTCTAGAAACATTTAAATCAGAACAGAAAATTAAGATGGGAAATACATTAGAACTCTGATCTGCAAATAAGATTCTTTTCAATTTCTAAAAGAGGGCCATAGATTTGGCTCAGAGCCTCTCAATCAAAACATTCAATTACCTGAATCATATTAAGAAAACTTGTCAGTTACTCAACAAAGGCTTTCTGATACCTAGTTATAAAAGAAACATCTGGCCAGTTAGAATGGCAAGTTAGAAACAGCAAGAGTCATACATGCACTGTTTCTCAGAGTGAGCAGCATCTGATGAAATCCACGACTGCGACACCAAAGCATGAGTGAAAATCAATTCCTGGCAGGAATGTCCAAGAGCTCAGCCTTCTTATGGTTCAGCTTAATAGAAAGATAAAATCTAGAATCCCAGCAAAAAAACCTGTCCTTAAGCAAGCCTCTGTGATTGCTTAGAAATGAATGGTGCAACCCAGTGTTTAAAAAAATCTGGGCAATGAGAAGTTTAAGATTATCATCTATGGCAAGTGTCTAAGGTATAGGTGTTCTGTGTTGTAAATAGTGACATCTTACTACGGAAAAAGTGAACAGATAGTGACATGCTTCTGAAAAAACCAAGTTGCCCAGCCATGATGCACTGTTTTCCTCAATGCAGAAGTGACTCAAAGAAACCAGAAAACAAAACCCCTAGATAATAAGATTAGATCCAAAGATCAAGTTTCCCCAAAGAGAAAAATCGTGGGATTCTCTCCTTGCCCTCTGGATCCACAGCCCTCACCCTAACTCAGACACGTAGCATCTCTCCCCTCAGTTTTCCCCTCTTCCCTTGCTTCATCCAATACATTCAAAATCAGCTGAACCAAGCTTTCTCCCGTCCTTCCCCAGCTGTAACATGTGTCAACAGCTCCCCAGCCCCGTCACAGCAAATTCGAACTCTATCAGAGTAAGCAAGGCCTGCGTCATCTGGCCCCTGCCTAGCTTTAGTTCTTGCCTCTCCTCACAGACTTTCCTTCTAGAGTACCAGTGAACTACTTGCATTTCCCCCAAAACTGTACCGTGCTCTCCGGCGTGTCTTGGAACTCTGCTGAGCAGCTCTTGTTGATTCCACAAGATTAAGGTACCACCTTACCTGGGGAACAGCTTTAAACCCTTCCCTTCAAGGTGTTTCTTAAAGGCACTGTGCCCTCACCCACCATAGTTTGTTGTAGGTGTTTATGTCCTGCAGCTTACATAGGGCTTGGGTTTAAAGTCAGTACCTGAGGCAACAGTCACTTACATCAATGTTACTTAAGAATTCTCTTTAATTGCCCAATGTGAGGGAGCAACATGGAAGCCCAGAACAAATGAGGTATCAAGAGACTCACTTTCCACTTCACACTCATGTAGAGTATATACTGGTGGAATCTCCAGCACCATTTGATAGTTTCACAGTTCTCTCTCTCCTTCTGCCTTCCTCTTCCTCTCTTCATTTGTCCCTCTCTCTCCTCCTTACCAAGTGCTTATAATTTTATTTGCAGAAATGCAAAAGTAACACAACTCCACTGTAGCTACCTGTCCTCCCCACACTGACACTCAACGGGGAGCCCTGTGAGGGCAGGTGCTCTGCCTTATTCAAAGTGGTCTCATGGCCTCCAGCACAGTCAGCACCACAGACATGAGCACCCATGAACGGCAGGGCTTGGGGAAAGCTGACAGGTAAGTGTGCACACAAATGAGGGAATATAATGTTTCATTTGCAGAGAAACATTCTGGGTCACTATTTCCCCATGGTTGTGCTTGAATAGGAGGTGGTGTAATCAAATAAGGCTGAAAAGCAGCTACGCCCTTCTTAGAGGTGGAGGGGATGGGGAATGAAGACACAGATGATGGCATCTGGCGCTTCTCACAGTGGCTTTGAGAGAAATGGACTTGTCCTGGGTGTCGGGGCTCCTGAGAAGACTACTCAGAGGATATGCCCTCCCCACGCTCTAGAAAGAGGCCACAGTCTGGAAAGTGGTATCTCAACAGAGGTCTCACTAAGGCACACCAGCCTGTTGCCTCCTAGAGGGGGAATCAGGAATAGACAAATAAGTTACTTGCATTCCAGTCAGTGTGGAAAAGCTTGCAGAAGTCCCCGACAGGGGCGCAGTGGCTGAGGCTGGCCACCACCTGCAATGCTCGGACATTTCTCTCCAACGCTTTCCCTTGTCTTTGTGATCCTCTGCCGAAGCTGTTGTAGGGTTTTTTCCTCATTACATTCTCTCACTTCTGTTTTGCACTTTAAGTGATGTATATATCATGGAACATTTTTCCTATTTCTCATTTTCTTAAGACACTCTGGATGCTTGTTCCACCCAGTCTTGATCACAATAGTTGAGCTTCTCGACCTAAGCCACCCTCAGCAGACCACCTTACCTGTACCCAGTGCTGTTCCTGCCAACCACCAGATGCTTGGGATGCTCCTCACACTTGTAAAGGTTAAAGTCATTCTCAGGTACCAGGTCCACGTCGTGGAATATAAAGCAGTCCCAATTTTCTTCCTTGAGAGCTTCTAGATAGCCCACATTCAAGAGTTTGGCTCGATTAAACTTTTTACCTTCAGCCTAGAGATATGAAAATTAAAACTTGAAAAGCTCCTGAGATAAAGTTTCATATTGTTCCCCTCTTAGTTAGGATTCAGGAGGTGGTATTATTCTTGTTAACGCACAAGACTATACTTGTGACATAAAGATCTGACAGAGAAGATGCAATGGCAATAAAAGACCATTTGATTTTTTCTTTGTGCTTCACACATACTTATATTCCAGAACTTAGAAACATTCCTTGAAATCTGAAGAGCTGTTGTGTAATGATAGAAAGTTCCAGTTTTGCAAGATTAAGTTCTGGAGATTGATTTCATAAATACACTGCATATATTTATGCAACCAATATATTGCATAATTATGCATAGATACATTGCATGTAAATATTCTTAACATTACTAAACTGTACACTCAATAATGGTTAAGACAGTAAAAATAAATAAAAGTTAAAAAAAAAAAGGTTAAGATGGTAAATTTTACATTGTGTGTTTTACCACAATGTAAAATATTTTAAACGCAGTTTTAAAATACAAATAACTCAAATAATCAATAATAATGTATTGTACACTTAAAAGGTATTAAGAGTACAGATCTCATGTTAAGTATTCTTACCACAGTTAACAAAAATAATTTTCACTTAAAATTTTACAAATACCTTTATGTATTCTGTATAAAACTACAAAACCTTTCTTCTATACTAGTCATGTCAATTAGTATTAGTGATTCACAGTTCAACCCCAGGTAATCCCAATCTTACCCTCTGTTATGAATTTACACTAAGCTTCTAAGAGACTTAGTTAACAGCCTGCCAGAAAGGATCAAGAAATCTCGACCTATAAAAAGAGAAGGTTATTGCTAACATTTCTAAGCTACTTTAAAGTTTCTTAGAAATCCCTGTAAGAGAATCCTGTTATAATGCTACTGGTAGAGGCTAATCCTCCCAGTGGCCTTATGGAGAGAGATTTGTCACTGGTTAATAAAAGAACACAGTTTGACCTGTGATATGATTGAAGCTGTAATAAAAAATTAAATAATTTTTTCATGGCTGCTTCGTTCAAGTTCCATCAGAATGAATTCCAGTTAAGTGGTTTATCATAAAAGTACAAATATTTCTCAGAAGTTACCACAATGTTTTCCTGATAAGAATAATACAAAGCAGACATATTTTTCTCTTTCTCTTTCATTTTTAATTTGAGATGGAATCTTGCTCTGTTGCCCAGGCTGGAGTGCAGTGGTATGATCTTAGCTCACTGCAGCCTTCACCTCCTGGCTTCAAGTGATTCTCCTGCCTCAGCCTCCCCGGGTAGCTGGGACTACAGGTATGTGCCACCACACCCAGCTAATTATTTTTTTTTCTTCGTATTTTTAGTAGAGACAGGGTTTCACCATGCTGGCCAGACTGGTCTCGAACTCCTAACCTCAAGTGATCCACCCACCTCAGCCTCCCAAAGTGCTGAGATTACAGGCATGAGCCACTGGGCCGGGCCCAAAGCAGACACGTTTTTCGATTCATAAAAATAGTACTATACCTTGTGGTTACTGTCCTGAGCAAAAACTCAGAATCAAATAAATCATACCTATGACCAACAACCTTAAAAACAAAAATAGCTATAAAACAATATAATAGTAACATTCTGTTCCAAGTACTAAAATACAGACATAGATGTGCTATATAAGCACACTGATTTTCAAGAGCCCCAGTTTATCACCAAGTCTATACTGAAGAGCTGGTCCTCTGAGTTGTCCAAAGTTTTACCTAAAAGAAATATTACCAGTTCTAACAGTAGTCATGATTTTGCTGACATTCTTAGAATTTGTAAGAAGTTGAGGGGGAATTATTTGGATGGCCAAGGATAATTGTGAAAAGTTTAGGCACTGATGTTTAAACTGATGTCTTAGTTTTTTTTCAATAAACTTTAATGCCAAATAGAGGTATCTTTAATCACCCACTCCACTGACCTCAGAGGTAAGCTCTTCAAAAGCAGCCGATGATTATGCTGTGCTCCTACCAAATCATGCTTCTGGAAGCCAAGTAAGTGAATCCAGAAAGTGAAAATCAAACATAACATGTTTCACATAATGAAGAGTGGCAAAGTTCGGGGCAGAAATGTAGTGGCAGCCATAGCTACTGATACAGAATATTCTTTCAAATCCTCTGTCTAGATCCCCATTGAGTAGCTATGGTCGATAATGACAAGACAATTCCAGAATCTCATCATGTAGTGCACGTCACGCAGAGAAAGAAACAGAAGGGGCCAGGAAGCCTCCGGGAAAATCTGAAGGCAGTCATTGGCTAACATAGAAGGGTTCACAAAACAGGCTTCCTCCAGAGGTTCCTTTAAGGGTAGTAAAATTTCCCAGAACTTGAACCCATAACTCCATGCTCTGAGACAATAATTTCCTCTACTCCTTTCAAGGATAAATGAGGTAAGAGAACTCTTTTTTGATGATAGTCTGATGTTCCTTTTACCCAACATAGACAAAGAGTCACATGGCCAAGTCTGGCAGAGAAAGGAGGGTCTAGGGCAGGCCCTGGTCTGCCCCCACGCTCACCTGGTGGATGACGTAGATGCCATAATCCAGCTGCTGCCTCTGCAGGAAGGGATGCAGATGTTCCAGCAGGTACATCAGGTGTTTCTCTCTGTTCCGGTGGGGAATGAGGATGGCGACCCTCTGTAAAGCTTTACATTCCTCAGGGTGATACCGGCCTCTGGACACCTTGGGATTTTCTGCCTGTACCTCTTCCAAAGTGAGATCTGGTTTGAAAATGAGCTTGCTCTGGCCTCCTATAATGAACATAGAACACAGACAATAACAGTAGCTACTTCAAAAAGTGTTGAGGTTGACATGAGCTAATATGCATAGAAAGAACACTGACCAGTTCACAGTGAGCGCTACAAATGTCAGCTTTTATTATGATTACTTTAAAGGCTCATTTAGTCATGATGATAGCCAGAGCATCATGTCACTAAGGTTACTGGCTGCAAAAGCAAGTGGCGGATATATAACATAAGCACTTCCTTGTGGCTGGTAAATCAACCTGCTCTATGATCCATCTGTAAGAAGGAATATCCTGGTGAATCCTGGTAAGAGCAAAGGTCAGGGCTAGAGAGAGTAACTTCAACTTTGGTCTATCCTCTTTTCCTTCTCCAAATTCCAGGAGGATGGGAAAATCTCTTAAATGTCAATAGCATTCCACAGAATCAAGCACCTGGACAAGGTACTCTTCCTCCCCCTCCCCTAAACTCTGGAACTACCCCGGCTCCCTGTAAGCAAAGCACTAAAAAGAAGTAGAAACCAGTTTCCCTCCCTGACCCAGCTGTAACAGGTATGTGTGGCACTGCAACAACTCTCCCATTTTGTCACCACAACAGACGTTTCCAATCCAGCACAGCATTTGCTAAGTGTCTGGAAGCAATCCACACAGACGAAGCCCAAAGCCATCCACAGGAGGAAACAGCTCAGGTTTTTTGTGGCTGTTGTTGTTTTCTAAATTCCATGTATACTGGTCAGGCTGTCAAATCTCAAGATGCTTGCAAATTGAGCTATCCCCTTCTGAGTAAAGCAGTCACAGGCCCTTCCTGTGCATGTCTCTATGCCTTGTTCCATGTAATCATCCCCTACCCTGGTCATGGCTGCTTACACCAGGCTCACGTGTCTAATGGCACCTTGGGGCTCTGCCCAATAGCAGGCAAGGTAAGCAACTTCTTCAAGGCACCCAAAGAGAATAATTGGCCTACGAGAGCCTTCCTGAAGGGTCTGCATGCAAGACACAGCAGTCAGTAATGCCCTAAAAACAAAGAGTAAGGAATGGAGTTACACAGATGACAAGTACTACAGCTGATGCTGGGCTCTCGAGCTACCAGAGAAAATGGGGTAGCTGTTGAGATGGTCTCCTGTGTGGCCTGTTCACAATTCCCATCATTAACCTGACTGTGTCTCTGTTCTTGCACCCTCAAAGAGCCTCATGCAACAGGTCTAATATAAACTAGTCCCCCGGCTTACCTTCTCATTGTCATAACTTTTTACATGCCCTAACCTAGTATCTGCTTCCATTTACCCTCTATCAGTCTCCCTATCACTCCCCCTGCTCCAACATCTTCTCAAGATCTGCCCCTCCTTGGGTCACTAATGGCCCATTTTAAGTCATCACCAACCACATCACCAGTACTTGCCCAGTAATGCATCACTGCCCTCTATTCTTTATGAATGAGTTTACTGTTTAAATATACTGTGAGCATTTTAAGCAAGGGGAATAATCAGCCATATTTGCATTTCACTGACTCATTTTTACATCTCAACTTGTACTATCTGTGAAGGAACACACAAAGGAATAACACTTTGGCTCTTCCGTGAGTAGAGAAGCAGCACGCCAATATGAATACGATACAGGACTGTGACTCAACTAGGAAAGGGGTGCACAGACTGAATGTTTGTGTCCCCAAAAATTCCTATGTTGAATCCCTAATCTCCACTGTGGGGCCTCTGGAAAGTAACTAGGTTTAGATGAGATCATCATAAGGGTGGAGCTGCCATATGGGATTAAAGCCCTTATAAAAAGAGCAAGAGGCATGGGATCTATCTATCTCTGTCTTTCTCTCTCCCGCCCTCTTTCCCTTTCCCCCTGCATGTATGTGTGCGCACACACACACCAAGGAAAGGCATGTGAGGACAATATCCAGTAAAAGGGCCCTCATCAAGAAACTGACCATGCTGGCACCCTGATCTTAAGACTAATTTACTGTTTAATATAAGTTGAGAGGCAAGACATAAAAGGTGAACCAAAATATACAACATATTTAAGAAATAAACTACTAAAGACTATATTGAAAAACTTACCTAGTCTGTCTCTTGACTCCATAGTTTTGGCCAAAGGAATACAACAGATGTGACCCCAGTGAAGCTTGAACGTGCTTGCATTTCTCCTCCCATGCTCTGGTGCTCTGCCGATGCCATGAGGAGAACATACCCAGGCTAGCCCACTAGTTTCAGCAGGAGAACAGGAGGCACATGGGGCAGAGCCACCAGCCTAGATCAATGGACCCTATAAATGTGTGCTGCTGAGACTTTTGTGGCTGGATAATAAAAGTGGGTCTGTTCCTATGACGGAATACTATACATCAATGAAAATGGACAAACCATAGCCACACGAAACCATAAGAATAGGTCTCACAAAAATAATGTTGAGCAACAGAAGCCAAACACAAAAGAGTACATAACGTATGCTTCTAATTTGTAAAGTTCAAAAACAGGAAAAATCTAATGTGTAGAGTTAGAATCTTGAAGCCAGAGTGGTGCCTGAAAGAAGCATGGGAATTCCTATGGTTCCCGCAAGATTCCATTTCTTAATTTACATGCCAGTTAGACAAGTATATTCATTTTCTGAAACTTAACCAAGTGGTACACTTCTGAGTTTTGTACTTTCTTGTACATGTCATAGTTATTTTATTTGAATTGACAGTTTTTGTGACACAGGAGATATATATATTTATGGGGTACATGAGATGTTTTGATACAAGCAAGTACCTGTTATTTTTAAATTAAAAAAAAATGCATACTACTTAATCAAAGGAAAAAGAGAACACTTACTGAGGTAAGGAGATACAGAAGGGCAGTTGTCAAGTTCTGCTTTCTTCGTGGATGCTTCATTAGTCAGAGTTTTTCCCTTCCCCAAAATGAGGGCCTTATGGAAATTAGCCACAAGTTCCTTTGCTTTAGGAATCTCTTGAATGGCACCCACGAAGTAGTTACTGGTGGCCCACCCAACCACCGTCAGGCACAAAGTCAGAAGCAACAGTAATCGTAATTTGTAGGAAAGGTGGAAAGTCAGGTTGAAGCCCATGTTTTTTATTACGTGAATAATATGTATCTCTCTGCTTCACTGCAGGCAAGAAAGCTTCAAGTTGAACTTTTCCAATCTGATTGCGAACTTGATGACAACTTAGGATACAATGCCTGCTTTTGCTCAGTAGTTCTGCTCCAACAATCTAAAACACAATCACAAAAGACACGTTGTTTCAAATGGAAATGCTATCCTGAAATGATTCACTCCAGCACAAACTGAAAACCCATCCCTGATGGACCTTGACTAACCATAATGGTAGGTCTCCCACTTAGGGTTTAGAGATCCGAAAACCAGAGGTTTTAGAGGTTCTAAGCACCGATATATCACAGAAGCACTCTCTAGGTTATCGGTCAGGCTGCCTGTCACCCAAGAAGGGAAGCCATTTCCAGATGTTGGACAGAACAAATAGGCAAAGGAGACAAGGGAGACTGCAAACGCCCTAAGACCTGAGCTGGGCACAGCCTAAGACACAGCCCTAATGGTTCTCTGCCTCAGCTGCCCCTTCCTGGCACAGTTTTAAGGGAGGATTTAAAAAATGTGAAACCTTGTTACGGAAGCACATTTTGACCCAAAGAGAAAATGAAAAGGGAAAAGTCCTTCTTCCTTGTGAGAGCCAGAAAAACATGGTCCTCAACAACAGGGAATGAATGCTATATTCTCAAAGAGGCACTGGCACAGGGCACATTGCAATGGGGGCCAGAAAGAAGTCTGTCAAGAAACATAGAGAATCCCCAACAGGAGGTCAACAATCTATCTATAAGAATAACAAAACTATAGCATAGTGTTTAAGATCAGGAGTCTGGACTTAGACAGAAACTATAGTTCTACTACATAACAGCTACATAACCTTGGGCCAGTCATTTAACCAAGCCTCAGTTTCCTTATCTGTAAAATGGGGATAAAAATAGTATCTACCTAGAAAAGTTATTGTGGGGCTTAGATGACTTAATTTATTAATATATAAAGTGTTATCCCACCTTGGCCAACAAGCAGACACACTGAAACACCACTTTCTGTACTGTATTTCTCACTGTCAGCTGACAAATTGCCACTCTGATTTCATACTTCAGCAGCATGAGATGGGATAATATGAATTCACCTCAAAGAGGGGGCTATGCCCTTAATTATTGACAAAAATCATGTTTTTAAGATCACCAAGCTGAGGGCCCACCCTGGACCACAGAAAATACACTAAAGTGGTAAAAGCTACCTGACAAGGATCCCTGGGTTGCCGCCAGCAACATCCGCTATATCCTCTCTGTGTGGACAAATCACATCTCTCCTCAAATTCTAAACATGTTCTCAGAAGAACACAGAAAATGCTAAAGCTAAGGCATCATCTCCATAGACAAACATATTCTCAATTAAACAAATAAAATGGAGACCAAAATATTTTCTATGCTAAATAATCACATGGAAACACTTATGATTAAATCTTAAATGACAAAAAGAAAAACAAAAAATAAACCCTATATCTGTGCTATGATTACAACTAAAGACATACAATTAAGGAAAGTCTAGAAAGAAATATACTCAAAAGCTAATAATAATTATATTAGGAGAATGGGATTAGCTAGGGGTGGTTTTTTTCTCTTTTCTTTTTAGAATTTTTAATAATATAGTTTTTATATTATCATACATATTTTTGTGTATCACATATTGTCATATTTACATATATTTTACATATATCATTTTAGATACTCTTACAATGAAAACAAAGTGAATTTTTTTAATGGTGAATACAGAGGCAGTAAGTAACTGTAAAAAACAACCACCACCTCAGAAACTCTCAAGATAGTGTCACACTTACTAAAGGATACAATTCCAAAAATTTAGTTTCAGGTTAGTTTGAAGGAAACCCATAAAATGGGAGGTTAGGTTCTTGGGGAATGTTTGACCCAGGAAGCAATTAAACAGTATGGCCTGTGTTCAGGGTCCTCTGAAGGTATCACAGGAAGTCAATGCTGAAGGCAGTAACAACTAATAAAAAAGGGCAATTTATGTGTGCATTTACTCTGTGCCATGCAGTGGGGTAAAATCACTTGTATTAACCTATTTAATTCTCATTTAACCATATGATGTAAGAATTACTAGTCTCCTCATCTTACAGGTAAGAAAAGGAAAGGAAGGTTTGGACAGATTTAAGTACCTTGCCAAAGCCCACACAACTAGTAAGTGGTAGCATGCGCTCTCAGCCCAGGTGCTCAGCTCCACATCCTTCACATGGATATTTCCTCTTTTCTCCCCTTGGTGCCTGGGTCGTCCCAACACAAACCCTTGAATATTCAGGTTCCCTTGGGGGCCTTCTATCTCTCTCCCACATCTACCTTCCCTTTCCTAGGGCCTGTCTGTTCAAATGCCTTCCTAGAGGTCTATTCTTTTCCCACCTGCTAACAGTAAGTCATCAGGTTCCTGAGGCCAATCAGACAACCTCTTGCAGACTTAATTGTAGGAGGCTTAAATGCTACGATTGGCAATTTTTAAAATAAAGATCTCAATCTTAGAAAATTCAGACTGGGAACATTGCTTTTCTTTATTTTTTATTTTTATTTTTATTTTTTGAGACAGGGCCTCACTCTGTTGCCCAGGCTGGAGTGCCGAGGCGCAATCCCAGCTCACTGCAACCTCCACCTCCTGGGTTCAAGCAATTCTAGTGCCTCAGCCTCCCAAGCAGCTGGGATTACAGGTGTGCACCACTATGCCTGGCTAATTTTTGTATTTTTAGTAGAGCTGAGGTTTCACCATGTTGACCAGGCTGGTCTTGAACTCCTGGCCTCAAGTGATCCATCTACCTTGGCCTCCCAAAGTGCTGGGATTATAGGCATGAGCCATTGCACCCAGCCCTGGAAGCATTGCTTTTCTAAGAACTATTTTCAGAGGGAGAGTCCCCTGGAAGAGAGAATTGCAGAGTGGAAGGAGGTTATGACCCTAAAATTACTGCAGTGTTGAAATCAGAAAAGATCTTAAAGAACACACATCGACCTCCTGCATTCTACAGACGGGTAAGAGATTTAAAAACCTACACAAGGCAGGGGATACATGGGAAATATCTGTACTTTCTGCTCAGTTTTGTTGAGAATCTAAAACTGTCCTAAAAAATACAGCTGAACCTTGAACAACACGGGTCTGAACTGCACGGCTCCACTTACACTCAGATATTTTTCAAACAAATGCGGACCAAAAATACAATATTCCCAGGATGCAAAACCTGTGTATAGAGAGGGCCAACTTTTCCAATATGTGGGTTCCTCAGGGCTCACTACAGTACTTGAGCACGCATGAATGTGGGTAGATGCAAGGGTCCTGAAGCCAATCCCTTCCACATACTGAGGGATGACTGTAATTTTAAAAAACAAAAACAGAAACACCTACCCAAGAACTAAATAGCTGTGAATATTCATAAACTAATATTGCTCAACTGTAGCTTATGGACTCTGTTCAAAGGTAAGACATTTATTCTAAAAGCAAGGAGCCTGGCCGGGCGCGGTGGCTCACGCCTGTAATCCCAGCACTTTGGGAGGCCGAGATAGGCGGATCGCGAGGTCAGGAGATCGAGACCATCCTGGCTAATATGGTGAAACCCCATCTCTACTAAAAATACAAAAAAGTAGCCAGCCTGGTGGTGGGCGCCTGTAGTCCCAGCTACTCGGGAGGCTGAGGCAGGAGAATGGCGTAAACCCAGGAGGCGGAGCTTGCAGTGAGCTGAGATCTGGCCACTGCACTCCAGCCTGGGCGACAGAGCGAGACGCTGTCTCAAAAAAAAAAAAAAGCAAGGAGCCATTATTAATAATTACTTAAGTATTAGTTAGGCCTTTATTACTAATCCTGCTTTTGAGACAACATCTGACCCAGTTAAAAATAATTACTTACCTATCTTTCTAAGTCTAAGTGCTCTCCCAAAAACTGTACAGAAAGCCAGCATAAGTAAGTTCAAAGGTAAGATTTCCTTAGCTCCTGTGAGTAAACATCTGAAGTGTGAAGGGTCTGTCATCTGTCTGTCCATCTATGTTTCAAGAGAGACCAGCCAAGTGACTGGAGGCAACCCCTCTCAGAGTGTGTCCCAGCAACAAAATGATGAAAAATACTTATCTCACAAAGTTGCTCTAAGAATTTAATGAGATGATGCACCCAAGTACACTGGCATATCTGGTACATTTCCAGGACACAAGCTTTTTTTTTTTTTCTTTTTTGAGATGGAGTCTACCTCTTGCTGCCTGGCTGGAGTGCACTGGTGTGATCTTAGCTCACTGCAACCTCCACCTCCCAGGTTGAAGAGATTCTCCTGCCTCAGCCTCCCAAGTAGCTGGGATTACAGGCTTGCGCCACCATACCCAGCTAATTTTTTTTTTATTTTTAGTAGAGACAGGGTTTCACCATGTTGGCCAGGCTGATCTCAAACTCCTGACCCCAAATGATCCACCCACCTCAGCCTCCCAAAGTGCTGGGATTACAGGTGTGAGCCACTGTGCCTGGCCAGGAACACATGTATTTATTGGCTGTAATTACCAATATGATTCATGTTCAGATGTTATCAGAATATTGCCCAAGATAATGTTATCTCTGGAATTAATGAGATGATTTTTACTTTCTAACTCTGTAATTTCCATTTTTTCTTTTAATGAGTATGTAATATTTTTATAATCAGAAAAACATAATGACGTTTTAAAGAAAGTTATTTTTAGGGCAAGTGACTCCCGATTGGTGTTTGGGAAAGTGCCATCATATTGGATTTATTTACACTAACGTTTAAATAATTGAGAGACCTTTAATTGTCACAAGAGTCTCAGAGTTTTCTTTTTCAGTCATGGCTGTCTTGAAGCGGCAAGGGAATCATCATGACTACCAAGAACAAATTCAGGCAACATGAAAGAAGTTATTTAGGGCAAGATTTACCACTCTTTCCCTTTCTAGAAGTCTGCCCTGTAGTTAAAAATGATCATGTTCTCATATTTGGTTTTCTTCCACTCGATTCAACCAGTCTTTTCTGAGTACCTGCTATTTTCAAGCAAAGGGGATATGATATAAAGAGAATGAAAGCCCAGTCTTTGTACTCAGAGTTTATTTCTATCTTTTTCTAGATCTCAATGTCTGCAATTTCCTGTCAAATATGAGAACGACTCCATCTCAAAATGGGAGAACAGATGAAACAAGATGGATAAAATACTGAGAAGTCTTGAAGATAGGTGATAGGTACCTGAGAGTCCATTTTCTTTCTACTTTTGTGTATGCTTGAAATTTCCCATAATAGTTTTTAAAATCTGGCAAGGAAGATAAGCTATAACAAAAGGAAGGGCAACGTAAGTGCTAAGTATCATTCCTGGAGAATCTCTAACCACACACATCTTTACTCCACCAAAGTGGGTGGGGAGGACACCATGTATCACTCTATAAATATTTACTAAGCATTTGCACCAAGAAGAAAGGGTGTGTTCATTCGGCAGCTAGGAGCACCAAAATCAGCATTCCAATGTCTCTGAACCTATCAGGTAACTTTGCAGACACAGGGCATCTGAGTGGACTTGATGTTATGCCACGCACATAATCCTGATGCCTTGGGACTCCGTGGGGCAACACTAGAAGAAAGACTGATTATTTTGCTACTCTTTTGACTCCTGCAGAGTTCCTAGGAGTTTACCTTTTACACATGCATTGTCCCACCTTCCTTAGGCCTTGGTATTCATTATCCCAATTACAACTCCTTTAGGAGGCTTCTGAATGATCACTGGCCAGATTCTAAAGGGGCAGTGGTTCCCTGGGCAGGGTAAGGAATGGGATAAAAATGATGACAGCCATTTACATGTACAAGTCATTTAAACCCAAAGATTAAGCTCCTAATGGCCCAATCTACAAGCATTTAAGCAATAAAAAAAAAAAAAAAAAAAAAGGCACTGTATTTTAACCCATAGGATAAAGTGAATATCCACTAGTCTATACTGATAAAAATGATCAAACAAATAAATGAATAGAAGAGAAGGGATGGTTCTTTTCTTACAGTAAATTAAAACTAGTAAGAAAGTGAGAGATGGAAAAAAAATCACCCTCGGCAAACACCACTGAATAACCGTTGCAGACAAGGTTCACCAATGGATGCTAAACTAATAGGCAAAAATCTGAGGATAAACAGTATAGTCTCAAAGTATGTCCCCCAAGGTAATTCTTAACTACAAAGGGAAAGACAGTAACTTTGTAGTGGAGAAGCCCAATCGCTCACCACAAGTTCATTCCACAACATACCTAACTGGTACTCTTCGAAAGAATCAAAATCATGAAAGACAAGGAAAAACTGAGGAACTATTTCAGATTGGAGGAGACTAAGGAGAAAGAAAAACTAAATAAAATGCAGGATCCTTGATAAAATACAGTGGGAACAGAAAAAAAAAAAAAGAGAGAGAGTAGGAAAATTGATGAACTTTAAATAAAGTTTGTAGTTTAGTTAATAGTACTGATCAATGTAGTGTGGTTATGTACTGGGTTAATATTAGGAGAAGCTAGGTGAACTCTCAGTACCATTTTTACAACTTTTCTGTAAGTCTAAAGTTAACTAAACATAAAAATAAAGAGTCAGAGACTAGGTATAACGTTACCAAGTCAACAAATGCTAGTAAATTAACTTACTTCTCAAGGAGAATCATTGTTTTTGTATTTCTAGTGCCTCAAACCAACCTGACACACAGCAGGTACTCAATTTAGTAACAAATGATGGACTAGGATATACTAGTTGAAATATATAAGGACACATCATAATTCCAGGCTACTGCTAAAAGGAATGAAACATAAAGAAGGTGGGAAATAAAGATTAATCAAATGAGTGCAAAATTCCATCTGAGGAGGATTTTAAAAACTAAAAAGGCTCACCCCGACACTAGCTCCCTTCAGTTCACTAACATCAACACTTTTCTAAGGGTAGGGTCCTCACCTTTAATAAATGACACTTTTGGTCACACCCACTGCCTTCCGCTCCTCTGCCTCTAAAAGTGCTACTTCTCCTTGGCTTGGGGAGGAAGTGTTGCGTGGCCTGCCTCTTCCTTCATGAAGCCACAAAGTGCCACTGTGTGAGTTCCATGGCACACTGGAACACAGCGTACCCGCCTCTGAGCAAGAGCCGTGGAAATCCACACTGGAAGCGAGGTGGTCCTGCAACACCCAAACGACCAAAGTTATTTTATGTAGTATATGATATGCAACATAATACAGAATTCACCAGAATTTCTGATGGGAGGTTTCAATAGAAGTTCATCATGTACTTATATGTTACTTTCAGCTGTCCCTAAAAAATCAACAGTGGAGTCAGTAGGAGTTTACTTTCTGCAGTCATTAGGGGCACCTCACCCTAAACCTTCTTAAAAAGGTTTAAAAAGCTCTGAGATCATGGGTATAACAGGGCTCTCAAGTCACATAGAGCTGAGTTCAAATTCTTGTTATGAGATGCATGAATGGCTTTTGACAAGTAACCTAAATGTTTTGAGTCTGTCTGGCCATTTATTTAAAAAGCGTTTCTCAACGTCTGGTTCCAAGAGTGCCTTTATCAAATACATAAGCGAATGTGTTAAAATTGTAGATTCCTGGGCCCCACTCCAAAGCCAACGGGTCAGAACAACAGCCTCTGGGACTCAGAAAAATGAAATTTTAACAAGCTCCCCAAATGATTCTTAGCTGCATTAAGGTTTGAGAACCACTGATATAAGAGAATGGACCTGGAATGCAATAGATCTTTCAGATATGTTAATTTTCCCTCTGGTTAGGAAAAGCAGTAAGAAGATATGTCAAAATGAGATTTTAAAAATGCATTTGAAAGGTTTTTGATTCCATCATTTAGAAATGTATTGTAAGAAAACAATCAGAGAGGTATACCACGATATTGAAACCAACATTGCTAAAATAACCAAAAATTTAAGAGTCTAAATATTAACAATAGCAATCTGATTTAATTAATTATAATACATCCATATGATGGCATATATGCTTCCATTAAAATGTTTACAATAACTACATGGAAAAGTGCTCATAATAGCTAAGTAGAAAAAAGATATAAAGATGTATATAAAATAAAGGCTGGGTGTGATGACTCATGTCTGTAATCCCAGCACTTTGGAAGGCAGAGGCGGGCGGATCACTTGAGGCCAGGAGTTCGAGACCAACCTGGCCAACATGTTGAAACCCCTTCGCTACTAAAAGTACAAAAATTAGCTGGGCATGCCTGTAGTTCCAGCAACTTGGGAGGCTGAGGAAGGAGGATCACCTGAACTGGGGACGCGGAGGCTGCAGTGAGCCAAGATCATGCCACTGCACTCCAGCCTGGGCATCAGAGTGAGAACCTGTCTCTAAAAGAAAAAGTATATAAAATATACTACCAATTATGTAATACATATGTATGTGCATACCTTTTACATACAAAATGACAGAGTCACTGGTGGTCATCTCTTAATTGTAGGATTAGGGAAAAACTTTTATTTTTTCTGTATCTTCTAATTTTTCTAAAATGGAGTTTTCATCAACAGAAACAATGTTGTTTTCTGATAAAACGACTACATAGTTTTCCTTTAAAATACAGTAGTCCTTGGTTTCACTTTCTGCAGTTTCAGTTAACCGCAATAAAATACAGTAAGATATTTGGAGAAACAGCTGACATTCATATAACTTTTATCACAGTATATTATAATAACTGTTCTATTATTAGACATTATTCATCTCTTACTGTGCCTAACTTATAAGTTATGCTTTATTATAGATATGTATGTATATAGAGAAAAAAACAGTGTATATAAGGTTTGGCACTATCTGTGGTTTCAGGCATCCACTGTCAGTCTTGCAACATATCCCCCAAGAATAAGGGGGACGACTGTACATTAAAATTTAAAGATAACATCACAGACAGGAATTCTAACTTTTAGTTACATAAGTTTGACAATTCATTCACATAACCTTTAAGAAAACCTGTTCTAAATAGGCCAAAAAGCCCCAATCTCAAAGAAAAACTTCAGAGGCTGTTAGTTATCTTCAGTGCCAGAGAACCCTGGGGTCTCTGTTTGAAATGCCTATTCCCAGGCTCCAGCCCCAGAGATTTTTATTTCAAAGGCCTCAAGTGGGGTCAAGAAACTGATATTTTTGCCTGGACCCGTGGCTCACACCTGTAATCCCAGCACTTTGGGAGGCCGAGGCAAACGGATCACTTGGGGTCAGGAGTTCCAGACCAGCCTGGCCATCATGGTGCAACCCCACCTACTAAAAACATAAAAATTAACTGGGAGTAGTGGACTGGGCCTGTAGTCCCAGCTACTTGGGAGGCTGAGGTGGGAGAATGGCTTGAACCTGGGAGGTGTAGGTTGCAGCGAGCTGAAATCGTGCCACTGCACTCCAGCCTGGGCCACAGAGCCAGACTCTGTCTCAAAAAAAAAAAAAACAGTATATTTTTAACAAGAACCTAGGTAACTCTGAGACATGCAGCCAGGTTTTAGAAACCACTGTTCATTGATGGCTTAAAACAAAGAACAGAAAACCACCACTGACTTGCTTTGGATGTTTCCACTGAATAAAAGATCTTCAAAGAGAAGGTTAGTTCCCAAAACATGTGCAAGTGTTTCTGGAAAAGGCAGGCATTACTATTAGCTCGGCTTAAAGTAGATACTAAATACTTATTATATTAAGTGGCATATAAACTATAATCACAGAGCTGATTTTATTGCCCTCTCTAACCACTTCCCCTTAGATTATGTAGTCAGACAGTTCAATTCAGGTCAGTACTTCTTCACAACGTATGTTTTCAATCCGATCAAAGCTATAGGTAGACGAAAGTTACTGCAGTTTCATGGGGTTTACAATTTCCATAAAGAACAAACCTGCTCTAGAAGACAAAATTCCAAAAACTTCTGAACTATATCCAATCAAGCATTATCTCCTCCCGCAAGAGAGACCTTCCAGCACTCCCCACCTGGGTCTCGGGAATAGCTTTCCGCATCCTCTTCTGAATCCCAATTTCTCAATCTGGGCCCTGAATCCCATTCATCCTCATCTCTCCTTGATTTTCTAGGATCTTCAAGGTGTTATTTTCCTTTCTTTAAAAATTAAAAAAAAAAAAAAGCCACGACTCTCCTCCACACTCAAATTACCATCTTCTCATTCCTCCTCTTCATCACCAAACGGCTGAGGAGGTCTACCAGTGCCCTCACCACCTCCACGTCCCCATCCCTCACCCACTCTGGAACACTTTGCAATAGGATGCACACCCACCTTCTGTTGATAACTACGCTCCTAAGGCTACCAACCCATAGGCCTTTTCTCGGTCCAGAGCCCCTGGACTTGTCTGGTTTTTTTCAAACCAAAAGTTAACAGCTCTTAGCTAATGGAAGACAGAACATCAAGAAATACAGATCAACAGACACTGGATGGCTGTCTTCGAAGTCCTTTATAATCCAGGTGACCAGGCCCTTCGGAGAAAGGTCAAAGGTTACCCGCCCCTCGCAGGACTGGGGCTGGGGTCAGCTGATCAGTTTCCCCGTTGAAACGCTGGAGAAAGAGGGTTTCCAGGAAGAAGGGGCTTTTTCAGGTTGATGCACCCGGCGGAGAGGTGCTGGGGGCGACCCCGGAATCGTGACCTGGGTTATGAGTGAGCCCTGGATCTTTTCCTACCTGGCAGCAAGCACCTCGCCTGGCTCCCGGCCTGCAGCAGAGGCGGGGCCGCGCGGGATGCCAGCACCTGAGCCGGTGCCTCCCGCCAGGCTCGGCCTCCGCAGGCCCCCGGCCCGGCCCACCGCTCCAGCTGAGGAGGGACGGCCCACGGAGGCCGCGCCATCCCCACGGCCGCCCCGCCCCAGCCCCGGGAACGACCCCGGCCGTCGCCCGGCCACCCTCGCACGGCGCCTGTGTCCCGGGAACTGCATTTCCCGAGCTCCGGCGGAGCCAGGGCCGCGTGTACTCACCCCAGACGCGGCCGCAGCGAGCTAGTACTGCCCAGGGAAACGCGAGGCCGCGGAAAGCGGCTCAGGGACCGCCCCGGCCGCCCGGGAGGCGGCTCCTGAGTACGAGCTCCGCCTCCCGCCCGGCCTTGGCCCGAGTGGCGGGTCCGTCCGGCTCTGCACGCGCCTGGCGCTCCACCCCTGCCAAATCGACCACACCAGGGGCTGGAAGGAGCACCGGCAGGGAAACGGAGTGTTGACGCCTCGGCCTCTGGGTGGCTTTAAAACCCTGTGCCAGTAGTAGACTAGGTGCTGGGCGCTTCCCAAATTACATCCCTTTAAATACTCACAAAGCAGTAGGAAAGAGATAGGGACCCTTCCATTTTACAGAGTAGGAAACTGAGGCTTTAGAGAGGCTAATAAACTTGCTTTAATCACCCCGCGACATTTCAGCCCTCTCAACTGCAAAAATAATAATAATATTGTTCCCATGTTGCAGGTCTACTTAGAATATTAAATGAATAACTTTTTTTTAATCCTTATTTCTTCAAAGGTATTATTACAGAAGGCCAAGACAATTAGATTTATACTAAAGATGTGAGTGAAAAATTATGGTAGGCTCTGTGTAGGCAGTCGGGATAGCTAGATTCTCCAACACAGCCTCCCACTGCACTCACGGGAAAGTAGTAGATTCTCCAAGAACCACCCATCCACTCCACCCAAAAAGGAACAAACCACAGCTAGAGCCAGTGCTGGGCTCATTAAGTTCATAGCAGGAAATCTGAGGCTATACTGAAGCCACATAGGCCAAATGTAGGCCCTTGGAAGCTGGAAAAGAGGGCCACCTAGTGGCAGTTGAGCATAGGTCAGTGAAATAGGTCAGCACTGCTCCTGAAGAAGGTCCAATGTGAAACTTACTTTTTTGTTTGTGTTCCCTTTGTAACATGCTGTAAGGTTGTATAACCACATTTAGTGAAAAAGGACATTACTGAATTTAATCCAGTGACATTATACAATAAGTTACTTGTACCCACATAGATAGTCCCCAAGTCTTCAGTATGTGATGCCCGGAAGCATAATACACCTTTTGCAAGAATCACTCAGCTTTTCTGTATTTGGTAGCTGGTAGGTTATTAATTGGAAAAGTTAGGCTATTGCTTTCAGTAAGTGTAGGAAAGCAAGTAGCAGTGATATCTACAAAATCAAAGATAGATTTCCAATCTGCTTTTCAGGTTTTAGGGTGGCTTTCATTGGAACACAGAGAGGCACTGGCATTAATAAAATGGTTTCCTAGGGTAGTGTTGTTGTTGGTTTTTTTTGGCATCAGTCCAGAAACCCAACAGTTGCGTTGATTTTTCTTGTTAGAGCATGAGCCTTAGCTAAAGCCATCTATTTTGGTCCCATGGATTTCCCAGCAGGAAATAAGGGGAAAATAGAAAAAAGGATAAGATATTCATGATAGCAGAGAAGTCTTGATCCATGATCTTGAGAAAGCTGTCCATGTCTAGGATGCCATCTGCTTCTGGGGAGAAACTTCCCTACCTTAAGGTCTCTAATAGGTGTATAGTTCCAAGAGTTTGAAGGGGCTCTTTTGAGTCACAAGGTATGGACTCAAGACTCAAGGCCCTAAAGTTTTACTGTGGGTGGTGAGAGGAGAACATGATATAATCTCTGCTAATGGGGTACAAGAGCAGTTTTTCTCAGATGGGATGTTATTTCCAGAAGACTCAATCTCTGAGTTCTAGATTGTGAAAGGTTGGTCGTACTCAGTGTATCACAAAAGGCTTTTACTTGGTGAAAATATACTTTGGTATAATGGATTAAAGCTTTGCAGTATTTAGTTATAGCAAAGCTTATAAGAGCAGGAGATACAGGAGATTCTGTTATTAAGGATATGGGTCTTCCCAGAACTAGATTTTGTCTACTCCATGATGAGTAATGGAGTACAGAGTTTTTAATAATGGAAGATTTAAGGACTCAGGAAGAACCAGGTGGCCATATGGGGCCTCCATGAGTCCACACTCAGCAATAAATTTACATCCTTTTAAATGTGTTTTGGTTTGTCTGTTCTAAGATGGCAGATAGTAGGCAGTGCTAGTGTGTCTCTCCCACTTGGAAGGACAGAACAGTGTGTAGCAATTAACACTGTGAACTTTTATTCCAAGAACCACTGCAGGAAGTTAGCAGGAAACCAAAAGAATTCGCAGATCCTATGAAAGAAGGAACACACCACAACAAACTCCGTGAACAGGCAAAAAACTGTGAATTCTCAGTGTAGGAGAAGGGGAGAGCCTGCCTCTGAACACACATTCCTACTGGGGAATCTGCAAATCCAGATCATGGGAGAAGGCTTTAACCTTATCTAGAGCTGGGATGGACTTAGGGAGAAGCACAAAATATAAAAGTAGAAGCAGCAGCAGGAAGAGCCTTGGAGGCATTCTCAGTCTCCAACTCGAGGCCAGGGAAGCCATCCCTGACTATATCTCACAGGGACCCCCAGAGAAGGCAGCCACCAAACTTAGGAAGGAGTCACAGAGTGAAAGAAGCTGCCAACTGAATTTTTTGGTAATTTCAAGTGGGCCTGAACACCCTTGAACAGAATCCGGGGGTGGGCGGACAAATGGAAACTAATGCAGATACAAGGGCAGAAACTGGGCACCCAGCATTGCAGGCAGATGGGAGGGGTGTGACCTGAAAGCCATGTTTCTTTCTCAGCAGGAAAGCTCATGGCCCGGGGCAGGTCTGAGTTCTGCACACCAGCTGTCTGAATCTAAACTCAGTGCCGTTAGTGGGGCACCATGGGAACAAGACTGGCCTCGCCAACTCTGTGGGAGCTGGATGAGGACTTTCACTATGAGCTAATCCCCACTCCCCTTGCAAACTCTACTGCACAGCAGAGGGAGCCATACTCCCCTCTAGAACATAACCCCATTGGCCTGTGAACCACCCCTTCTATCCCCCAGAGGGGCCACAGCAGGCCTTGCCTGGGGAAAATCTGAACTCAGGCCCACCCAACCCTGCCCCTACCTGATGGTATTTCTCTATCTGCCCTGTAGCTTAACACAAAAGACATAAACTCTTGAGAGCTTTATGGCCCTGCCCATTGCCTGGGAAACCAGAATACTTCCCCTAGACAACTTAGGCCAAGCTCAAATGTCGTTACTACTACCACAGCTGGTGTTCTCTTGCAAGCGTCCCCTCCTGGCTGGAAGTCAACCAACTCAGGCCATTACAGTAACTCTTGGCAGAATAACACTGCTTACAGGAAGGAGAAAACAACAGCTAACACCACTCCCTGCTAAACCCTGGCTAACCAGAGGTCCTGAGTCTGTCCACATGACAACTTCACCACTAGCATAACCAGCATTCAAGAAAGCCAGCACACTGAGCCTATCTACAACCAAGAGATCTCACAGACTACATCACTCCCCTGCCACCTCCATCAGAACAGGTGTTGGTATGCATGCTGGGAAACCTGAAGACAGATAACATCACAGGACTCTTTGCAGACATTTCCCAGCACCAGCCCAGAGCCTAGCTGGGTGGCTAGACCCAGAAGAAGAATAACAATCACTTCAGTCTGGTTCTCAGGAAGCCCCATTCCTAGGGAAAGAGGGAGAGCACCACATCAAGGGATCACCCCATGGGACAAAAGAATCCGAAAACCAACCCATGAGTTCCAGATCTTTCGCTGGTGGGAAGTTTGTCACAGCAGAGACACAATTGCAGGGCTGGGTACAGTAGGGAAAGTCTGAACCTATACCCCAACAGGCAAGTGGTCTCTGTGATCATGAAGGGCCTTGGAGAAAGGATCCTTGTTCCCCTCTGGCACTCCACTGCAGACACAGCTGGGGCTTCCTCCACAGGAATGCAGCATGGAGGCAGCTATAGACAGCCTTGCTGGAACAAACCAGAGTTAGCACAGCCCCACAGGAGAAGCACCCCCCAAATTGAAGCCTGCACAAGGGGCAGGGTCACAATTCCTCCCTACTTGAAACATCAACATTCCTATAGATGAAAAAAGGTGCCTGACTGATCCAAATAGCTGAAACAATGGGACAAGAATGAGACTGTGAGGTGAACAGCTTGCTGGCCTAAGAGGGGAGCTGAGGTAGCTCCTACTCCTCACCCTGATAAAACCTCAGGACATCAAATTGCGAGCTCCCCCAGCTATCCTCATCAAGGCTGGGGTCTGAGCCCACCATTGGGATTATATCTATTCACCTGCTTTAGCTACAACTAGTACCTACCCAAGAATACCTCCCCTATTGGCCTGAAGCCTGAATCATCAACTCAGTAAATAAAATATTGGGGGAAAAAAAAATAAATAAACATAGACCACAAGAGAATGAGATAAGCTTCAAGAGATCCCTGCCATTCCAACTTCATAGGAGACAGTGAACTTGCCCACAAACCAAGTACATAATTACTACAACCAGCATCAGGAAAGCCATCACACAAAGACTCTCTGTAACTAAGAAACTCATACAGAGTCTTCACCCCTACAAGCACCAAGAATCAAATTAGGCTGAAATAAATATTAAGGTCTAATCCCTAAGAGGGAAAAAATAAATTAAAAAAACACAATTCAATCAAAAATAAATTCAAGAACAATTCGAAGAAATAGTCTACCAAAAGAAACCAGAAAAGTAATTCTGATAAGATGACAAAACAGGGTTCTCTAGTACCCCCAAAATATCACACTAGCTCCCCAACAATGGATCCAAACAAACAAAAAAATCTCTGAATTGCTGATAAAGAATTCAGAGGGTTGATAATTAAGCCACTCAAGGAGAAGCCAGAGAAAGATGAAAACCAACTTAAAGAAATGTAAAAAACAATATAGAATATGAATGAAAAATTTTTCAAAGAAATAGATATCATAATGATAAAGCAATCACAACTCCTGGAAATGAAAGACACACTTAGAGAAATACAAAACACAGGGGAAAGTTTCAACAATAGACTAGAACAAGTAGAAGAAAGAACTTTAGAGCTCAAAGACAAGGCTTTCAGATTAACCCAATCAGACAAAAAATAAAATAAAAAAGAATTTTAAAAACTGAACAAAGCCTTCAAAAAATATGGGATTATATTAAATGGCCAAAGCTAAAAATAATTGTTATTTCTGAGGAAGAGAAATC